GATTATAGGCATGAGCCACCGTGCCCAGCCAACCCTGAATCTTATACTGGAGGAGAAAAATGCTATAAAGGATATTATGCAGTTAGTTGACAAAATTGGAACGCAAATAGCAGATTAAAGTATCGTATTAATGTTAACATTACAGAAGTTGATAAATTATGTAAGAGGCCGGGTGCAGTGACTCATGCCTGTAATCCTAGCACTTTGGGAGGCGGAGGTGGGTGGATCACCTGAGGTCATGTGTTCGAGACCAGCCTGGCCAACATGGTGTAACCTCGTCTTTACTAAAAATACAAAAATTAGCCAGGCATGGCAATGGACACCTGTAATCCCAGCTTCTTGGAGGCTGAGGCAGGAGAATTGCTTGAACCTGGGTGGCACAGGTTGCAGTGAGCCGAGACTGCACAACTGCACTCCAGCCTGAGTAACAGAGCGAGACCCTAACTCCAAAAAAAAAAAAAAAAAGTGAGAGCACATTCTCAGTGAGAGAGAAAGAGAAAGAAGAGAGGGAGAAAAAGAATGTATGTGTGTGTGTGTGTCTGTGAGAGAGAGAGACAGACAGACAGACAGAACAAGTCCCCAAAGAAGTTTGGTGAACCCAGCTCTTCCCTTCCAGTCAGAATGTACCAAGATTGCAGCATCCTGAGATAAGAAGGAACAACCCAGGCTCTGTGCTCGTTCCTCCTAGAGCAGATGTCCTGCAACACTTGTGATCAGTAAGTCCAGTCCTGATCAGAGCGTTAACCCCAGAGTGAAGGGGTGGAGTGCTTTCTGAGTCCTTTGGCTGCAGTGTGAAGGGGAGCTCGTGCAGATGAGACTCCCTCTGTCCTGAGCACCATTCTTGAGGCTTGGGGACCAGTTCACCTTGGATCCTAGGCTTCTGTTGGGTTTTGCAGCCTATGTGGGGGTAGTAAAGTTGCTTTGCCTGACTTGTGCAAGTGTGCTGACTCACTGGACTTATACTCGGGCAGCTGGGTTTGTGCAAAATCTCCTATCGAATGCAGGAATCTTAGCAGAAATTAATGAGGTGCTTAGAGTCCTCCCTTGGGATTGGCAATCAGTGCATGATGTTTCTCTCTCAGGGACTGACACTGGTGTACAGTATTCTGCCTAACAGAAGGAGAGAAAGAACATGAAAGAGCAAATTAAGTAAAATGAACTAAGTTACTCTAAATTAAGGGCATGGATTTTGTTTTTTATATTTAGAGACAAGGTCTTGCCTGGGTTGGCTGGCCCTGAACTACTGGCCTCAAGCGATCCTCTCACTTTGGCCTCCCACAGTGCTGGGATGATAGGCGTGAGCCACCAGCTCTGCCAACACTGAATGTTCTTGACACCACTTTTAGTTTTTGCAGCTTTTCTTTCTTCCTTTCCGTTTTGAGACAGTCTTGCTCTGTCACCCAGGATGGAGTGCAGTGGTGCAATCACAACTCACTGCAGCCTTGAGCTCCTGGGCTCAAGCAATCCTCCCACCTCAGCTTCCCAAGTAGCTGGAACTACAGATATGCACTGCCATGCCTGGTTAAATAAGAAAAAAGATTTTTTTTTTTGGTAGAGACAGTGTCTCTGTCTCTATGTTGCTCAGCCTGATCTCGAACTCCTGGGCTCAAGTGATTCTTCTGCCTTCACCTCCCAAGATTCTGGGATTGCAGACAAGAGCCACTGTGCCTGGCCACAACTTTTCGACAGGTTTGAAATTATTTTTAAGTACAAACTTTTAATATTTTAGTCATTTTTAAAACTGAGCTGGCATGGCATAAAATAAAAAATTTAAAACGCAAGTGCAAGTTTATTTAGAGATAAATTTCTGGGCATAGTCTGAGAAAACTTATGGTCTGAATAAAGTTGGCTGCACTAATAACAATAAGAAAATTAATTTTTAACCTATCGAACTTTACCTAATCAGAGGGGGTTGGTGTAAAGTAAGGACCCAAATAAAAACATTTTAAAGGTTATCCGGGGTCAGGTGTGGTGGCTCATGCCTGTAATTCCAGCACTTTGGGAGCCTGTGGAAGGTGGATGACTTGAGGTCAGGAGTTTGAGACCAGCCTGACCAATATGGTGAAACCTCGTCTTTATTCTAAAATAATTAAAAAAAATATTTACTTTGTTGGGCGGGGTGGGGGCTTCAAAAAAATTTTTACTTTGTTTAAAGATTTAGATTCTTGTTCTTTCAAGGAACACTTCTACATGTATCATTTAATTTACTTCTTGGACCCTTTTTATTTTATATAATAATTCTAGCAATATTTTCCCCAAATATCTGCTTCTCCAAATGGTTTTCCTCCTTTTGCCTGAATTTGCTGCTATCTGATTGGCTTGCATTACCCCTAAATATATGAGCATGTGGAACAATGGGTCTAGAACTTGCCTATTGATCCCAAATTTATTTTTAATCTTCGCTATGTTGTGAGTAGACATCCTTCTACTGATGTTTTTTTCAGTTCGTATAACCAGTGATTTGTGCTTTATTGAACCACCTTTAAATCTAGTCCTTGGAATGTTAGAACTATTGCTAGTAAAATTCACTGAGGTTTGGTTGTTTGGTTCACCTAGCCACAGGACTACTTTGTCCTTGATGCCTCTAGGGAAACAGCCTGTTGCATGGCAAGAGTGCTGCCATCTTGAAGTGAAACTGCCATAGTGACCTGTGCTTGAACCCCGACATACCAAGGTGCTCTGCAGTAAGGTCCTTAACCACTTCTTGTAGCATAGATAACGCCTCATGTCACTCATTTTGACAAGAATGTCTGAGAGACCAGGTGCAAATGTTTTGCCCTAAAAGCTTGTATATAAAGAATGCCTTCTGGCCAGGCATGGTGGCATGTACCTGCAGTCCCATCACTTTGGGAGGCTGAGGCAGGAGGATTGCTTGAGGCCAGGAGTTGGAGACTAGCCTGGGTGACATAGTGAGAATCCAGTTCTACAAAAAATTAAAATAGCCGGGCGCTGTGGCTCATGCCTACAATCCCAGCACTTTGGGAGGCCGAGGTGGGTGGATCACGAGGTCAAGAGATCGAGACCATCCTGGTCAACAAGGTGAAACCCCGTCTCTACTAAAAATACAAAAATTAGCTGGGCATGGTGGCGCGCACCTGTAGTCCCAGCTACTTGGGAGGCTGAGGCAGGAGAGTTGCCTGAACCCAGGAGGCGGAGGTTGTGGTGAGCCGAGATTGCGCCATTGCACTCCTTGATATCAAGAGCAAAACTTGATACCAGCCTGGGTATCAAGAGCAAAACTCCGTCTCAAAAAAAATAAAAAATAAAATAAAATAAATAATAAAAATAAATTAGCCAGGTGTGATCGTGTGTACCTGTAATCCCTGCTACTTGTGGGGCTGAGGCAGCAGGACTGCTTGAGCTCAGGAGTTTGAGACCAGCCTGGGCAACATAATGAGACCTCCATCTACACACACATACTGATATGGTTAGGCTCTGCGTGCCCACTAAAATACCATCTTGAATTGTAATCCCCACGTATTGCGGGACGGACCTGGCAGGAGGTGATTGGATCGTGAGGGCGGTTTCTTTCATGCTGTTCTCATGATAGTGTGAGTGAGTTCCCACGAGATCTGAGAGAGATCTTGTGAGATCTCTTGTGATGGTGATGTTAACTGCCCCGCCTCGCCCAAGACGTTTACCTCTCTTTGGCCTTCTGCCATCATTGCAAATTTTCTAAGGCTTCCCGGCCATGTGGAACTGTGAGTCAACTAAACCTCTTTCCATTACAAATTACTCAGTCTTGGGTAGTTCTTTTTTTTTTTGAGATGGAGTCTCCCTCTGTCGCCCAGGCTGGAGTGCAGTGGCGCGATCTCGGCTCACTGCAACCTCTGCCTCCCAAGTTCAAGCGATTTTTCTGCCTCAGCCTCCTGAGTAGCTGGGATTACAGGCACCTGCTGCCACGCCCAGCTACTGTTTGTGTTTTTAGTAGAGACAGAGTTTTGCCATGTTGGTCAAGTTGGTCTGGAACCGCTGACCTAAGGTGATCCACCAATCTTGGCTTCCCAAAGTGCTGGGATTACAGGCGTGAGCCACCAAGCCCGGTCACATAATTTTTTTCACTGATTCATAACAATGAGCCAGAGTTGTACTCCGTCGTCTAGGCTGGAGCACAGTGGTATGATCACAGCTCACTGCAACCTTGACTTCCCCGGGCTCAGGCGATCCTTTCATCTCAGCCTTCCTAGTAGCGGGGCCACAGTCACGTGCCACAGTACCTGGCAAATTTTTTATATTTTACTGTAGAGATGCAGTCTCACTATGTTATCCAGACTGGTTTCAAACTCCTGGGCCCGTAATCTACCTGCTTGGATCTCCCAAAGTGCTGGGATTACAGGCTTGAGCCAGCGCACCCCGTAATCTTGCATCAATTTGATTGGGAATTAGTCCTCAGAAACCAGTCATGGCAGAAAAGACAGTTAAACATCTCTTGCTTTATCCACCATGCATACATTTGAGTTGGGATTCTTTTGCTGCAAAACTTGATCTTCAGCTAGATTCAGGTTACTTTATTATTACTCATGATTGTCAACAGTGCATGCTAATCAACTTATTTTTCAGGTATGCAGTTATGTAAATTGGTTAGTTTACTACAGTGTTTAGTTCTAGAACGAAAACGGCATTTTCCATATAAATGCTTAGAACACGTATTTCATTTTCAGTTACCAGGTAACTATAATTACGGTAGTTTTCTATTTAAGGAAGAATTTATCTTAAACTTACCTAGAATCAAAAGTGAATTTAAAGGAAGTGCTAATTATGACAAAGGCAAGGAGCCGTTCGCACTTGAAACCAGAGTTTCCTACTATGGGAAAGTTTTTAATTTCAAAAAGAAGGAAAGAAAGAATCCCGGACTTCGAAAAACCGGTTCAGTAGGCGGGGCGGGGGGTAGCGGGTGCGAGATGGCTATGGAAGCCCTGAAGGCCCAGGAGGAGCCTGGAACGCGTTAACTGCTCCGGCGGCTGCGGAGGAAAACACGCCTCCCGCGAGGGCGATGGAATGCGCAGGCGCGTTGGCGCTCTGGTCGTGTGCCGGGGCGCCGGGCTTCGCTGCGCAGGCGTGGGCGCCGCCGCTGGCGTAGTCCCCATGGAGCTGCAGTAGCGGACCCTGCGCAGCCAGGAGCGTTCGGGATGAGCTCAGCTGCGGCGGACCACTGGGCGTGGTTGTTGGTGCTCAGTTTTGTGTTTGGGTGCAATGTTCTTAGGATCCTCCTCCCGTCCTTCTCATCCTTCGTAAGTGGTTGCCAGGCCTCCCAAGGGCCGGTGGAGACGCCGCCCGAGTCCTCCGACTGGTCTGGCGTAGGTACAGCGTTCTCGAATGGCAGACTGAAGGCCAGATTCAGCCCGTAGCAGCGTCTTGGTTGGTCTGTAAACTCTTTTGAGATAGTTGCTAGCGTCGAAAAGGGGTGAAACTTTACCCCCAATCTGTTTACTAATTCGTAATCTTCAGACTCTCTGGGTTCTAGGGGGTTGGCAGGAGAAACACCCGGTAACCCTGGGCCACGCTTTCACGTGGCAGGAATCTTCTGGCTGGGGGTGGCGGCGGCGAATCTCACACTGGGAGTGCCCAGTGCCCCGCTACCAGCCTCACTCGTTTCTTTTAATCCCGGTCCCTAGAGGCATTGGAGCAGCCCCCGGCTAGGATTTCCCAGAAGCCTGGCGGGCGATGTCAGCTGTTTCAGGTCCCGGAGAGATGGATCCTCGCGTCCAGAAGGCCACATTCTTGGGGTGCGTAGGGTGGGAGACAGGTGCAGAGAGAATCTCAGCACAGCGTGATGCTTTCAGTATCCAAGGGAGCAACCAGCTTGGGGAGCACCCTCTTTCTGTCAGGCGTTTTGCCCCGGCAGTGAATACATTTCCTCCGTGTCACGGCTGCTGGGAGAGGAGAGTATTATCATTGCATCCTCCTTTACCTCCCGGAGGAGTCTGGCTCAGAGAATTTAGTAGTTGCACTGAATCATCCACCTGGTGACTGGTGGTGGAGGTTAGATTGCCTGTTGGAGCAGGGAGAGGGATTTGGTGGCAAATTGGACGGGGCGTGGTGGGGTGTTGGCACATTGGGAACTGTCCCTGGGATTGAGCGCACTGTGTAGCCCACAGCAGGAATGAGGAGCCGTTGGGCAAAGACTGAGACCGCAAAGATTGGGTGCATTCGTTGTAGAATTGTCTTGGAACACAGTTCTTGCTTTTCTTTCCTAAGATAAATCGGTAGTAGTGGAGTATGTTTTATTCCACCAGTATTCACCGAGTGCTTGTTTTGTGCAAAACTATTCTTACTGTCCCTATTGTCTTACTGTCTGCACTGTTCCGAGATATAGGGAATTCTCTTTTACCCCCTGAGCCTCCTTCAGAATCTTTCCTCATGCTCTGCAGTCTTTTTTTTTTTTTTTTTGAGACGGAGTTTCGCTCTTGTTACCCAGGCTGGAGTGCAATGGCGGCATCTCAGCTCACTGCAACCTCTGCCTCCTGGGTTCAGGCAATTCTCCTGCCTCAGCCTCCTGAATAGCTGGGATTACAGGCACGCGCCACCGTGCCCAGCTAATTTTTTGTATTATTAGTAGAGACGGGGTTTCACCATGTTGACCAGGATGGTCTCGATCTGTTGACCTCGTGATCCACCCGCCTCGGCCTCCCAAAGTGCTGGGATTACAGGCGTGAGCCACCGTGCCCGGCTGCTTTTCATCTCTTCTGAAACTCTTGTACCCATTAAACAACCACTTTCCATTCCTGCCTCCTCCTGACAACCGCCATTGTACTTTCTGTCTATGAATTTCACTACTCTTGGGACCTCATATATGGGGAATCAGACAGTATTTTTCCTTTTGTGTTTGGCCTCTTTCAGTCAGCATAACAGCCTTAAGGTTCATCGGTGTTGTAGCATTGGTCATGATTCCCTTCCCCTTTAAGGCTCTAGTATCTCATTGTGTGTATAAGCCACATTTCGTTTATCCATTCATCCTTCTGTGGACACTCGGGTGTTTCTGCCTTTTAACTATTGTAGATGATGCTAAAATGTTTACACACATCTCTTTGAGTCTCTGCTTTCGGTTTTTCTGGACATACACCCAGAAGTGTAATTGCTGGATCTGTGGTGAGTCCATGTTTAATTTTTCTGAGAAACCATCATACTGTTTTCCATGCAGCCACACCATTCCACGTTCCCACCAGCAGTGCAGAAGGGCTCCAGTTGCTCCACATCCTTCAACATGTATTTTGTTTTCTTATTTATTTATTTATTTTTTAAAGTTTTTTATTTTTCTTTTGAGATGGAGTCTCATTCTGTCATCCAGGCTGGAGTGCAGTGGCTCAATCTTGGCTTATCACAACCTCTGCCTCTCGAGTTCAAGCAATTCTCCCATCTCAGCCTCCCAAGTAGCTGGGATTACTGGTGCATGCCACCACACCCAGCTAACTTTTTTTGTATTTTTAGTAGAGATGGGGTTTAGTAGAGATGAGAGCCATATTGGCTAGGCTAGTCTCGAACTCCTTGACCTCAGGTGATCCGCCCATCTCAGCCTCCTAGAGTGCTGTGATTTCGGGCATGAGCCGCCACACCCAGCCTTTTCGTTGTTGTTGTTAATATACTAGTCATCCTAATGCCTGGAAGGTGGTATCTCACTTTAGTTTTGATTTGCATTTCCCTAATAGTTAGTGATGTTGAGTATCTTTTCAGATGCTTATGGCCATCTGTTTATCTTTGGAGATCTGTCTAGTCACATCTTTTGCCCCTTTTTGAAATCCAGTTGTTTGTTATTTTGTTGTTGAGTTAGTTCCTTTTATTTTTATATATATATATATATATATATAGAGAGAGAGAGAGAGAGAGAGAGAGAGACAGAAACAGAGACAGAGACAAGAGTTTTCTCTCTGTTGCCCAGGCTAGAGTGCAATGGTATGATTGTGGCTCACTGCAGTCCCTGCGTCCTGGGTTCAAGCGATTCTTCTGCCTGCATGTGCCACCACACCCAGCTAATTTTTGTGTTTTTTTTTTAGTAGAGAGGGGGTTTCACCATGCTGACCAGGCTAGTCTTGAACTCCTGACCTCAGGTGATCCACCGGCTTCGGGCTCCCAGAGTACTGGGATTATAGGCATGAGCCACTGTGCCTGGCCAACAGTTTTTTTTTTTTTTTAACTTTTGTTTTAAGTTCAGGGGTACGTGTGCAGGTTTGTTACATAGTTAAACTTGTATCATGGGAGTTCGTTGTACAGATTATTTTGTCACCCAGTTATTAAGCCTAGTACTCATTAGTTATCTTTCCTGATCCTTTCCCTCCTACCCTCCATTCTGTGAAATAAAAAAATTTGTTTTTAGAGGCAGGGTGTTGCTCTGACTTAGGACCTGTGTCCACATCCTGTGCTGCCTCCTACAAGCTTATGGCCTTTCTAATCTCAACGAAGTTAGCTTTCTTAAACGCATTTCCCTTTGGGTGTAACACTTGTCAGCCAGGTTCAGAAGGATAACATAATATTATCCTAGCAGAGTACACCCTGCCCCGCCCATAATTGGTAACAGAGATGTTTGGCCTGGTCACTGGGTTTGTGGTGAGGTCTGTAAAAAGTTTTAAGGAGCTCGCTGGTCTTGAGTAGGGTCAGACGTTGCTTGCTCCTTTACCATCATTAGAGGCTGCCTCATCACAGCCACGGATTTGAGGATTCAAGTGGAAAGACTCATGACAAGCAGCAAAAAGTCGAATTGGGAAAACAGTGCTCTCAGGGATGGGGCCATGCTCAGGTACCTAGATTATAACCTCCCTTGGGATTGTTTCTGAAGCTTTTGTCCTTGCAGAAGTTAGGGAGGGAGCATACTGATCTCATCAGCAAATTTAGGCCGCACTGATCCTCCCCGCGTGAGGCCCTTTAGGAGGTCTGAAGTATCAGAAGTCCTTGGGCCAGTTAAGCCTCGAAAGGTCCTGGGAAGTGATCTCAGCTGCCCACTGCGGTGGGGGTGGGATGCCTGGTGTTGGCGTGGTTCGAATTTTCCTGGGGATCTCTCCCTCCTCTTCAAGCTAGGCACAGGATGCATGGTTGAGAGAGCCCAGTTCATTCAGTACGTGGTCCGGGACTTTCTTCAGCTACAGGAGGGGAACAAAGACGCCTTTGGTGAGCACCGGCTCTGTAGGTGCAGGGGAGGTGCAATGCGCAGGCGCCCCAGGACTGGCGCGGGCTCAAGGTCCATGCATATAGCATGCACTGCGCAGGCGTCCCAGGACTGGCGCTGGCTGAAGGTCCATGCAAACAGCATGCACTGCGCAGGCGTCCCAGGACTGGCGCCGGCTCAAGGTCCAGGCAAACAGCATGCACTGCGCAGGCGTCCCAGGACTGGCGCCGGCTGAAGGTCCATGCAAACAGCCTGCACTGCGCAGGCGTCCCAGGACTGGCGCCGGCTGAAGGTCCATGCAAACAGCATGCACTGCGCAGGCGTCCCAGGACTGGCGCCGGCTGAAGGTCCATGCAAACAGCCTGCACTGCGCAGGCGTCCCAGGACTGGCGCCGGCTGAAGGTCCATGCAAACAGCATGCACTGCGCAGGCGTCCCCGGACTGGCGCCAGCTCAAGGTCCATGCAAACAGCATGCACTGCGCAGGCGTCCCAGGACTGGCGCCGGCTCAAGGTCCATGCAAACAGCATGCACTGTGCAGGCGTCCCAGGACTGGCGCGGGCTCAGAGTCCATGCAAACCACACGCACTGCGCAGGTGCCCCAGGACTGGGGTAGGCTAAGGGTTCTCGCAAGCCGTATACACTGCGCAGGCGCCAGGAGACCCTTCCTTGCAGCCGTAGGTTTCCAGAAAAAGGACGTCGCGGGGTTGCCTTCTAGGTTTATGGGGCTGAGCACCATTTCAGATGTAACATTTTCTAAATTGTCCTCACTTTCTGCTATAGAGTGGTAGCCACTCCTTTGCCCTCTAGGGGACTGAAGCAAGAGGAGGATGTTGCAGGGTTTGCCTCTGTGGTCGTCTTAGAGCGACCCGCCCCATACCTGTTTCCTCAGAGCAGTTGCTTAGTGAGTCTCTGCCAGGGACCAGGCTTGGGGATGGTCTCAAGTATTAGTTTAGGGGGATGACGCTCTGAGTCACAGGACCTGCCCCAGAGCCCTCCGACTGAGAAGCGTGCTGGTGAAATGCACATGTGCAGGCAGGGCTTCCTGTGGGGCTCTCGCGGGGGCGGCAGCCAAGGACAGAGGCCCTGGCAGCCTGGAGAGCTGCCCCCTTCTCGGTCCTGGCTGGCAGGGGTCCTGGCCGAGAGTGGCATCTAGGGGTGTTTAGGGTCTGGAGCTTCTTGGGTTGGAGGTCTCTGTCCCCTGTGGTTGGGGACCTCAGGGTGACCTGAGTTGGTGATTCCTGGGTTTGCCTACTCCACTGCTGGCAGGGACAAGCAGGGCCTGTGCACGTTGTCATGCCACCAGTTCATTCCCAGCAAGAGAGTGAGAGAGGTGGAGTGGGAGTTTGAATCTCCCCAGGGTGACTCCAAAGTCAAGTCTTGGCATTTTGCCTGTTGGCAAAGAGGACATTGAACCTGGACAGGATCTGAGGTTGACAGTGGCAGGAGGACATTATGAGCTGAGGACAGATGGGCTGCCAGCATCTCTCTAAGGTGAACGGGAGAATTGGTTCTCCCTTTTTTTCCTCCATGCCTGAGTCATCTTGATAAGAATTTTATAAACTCATTTTCAGAATATCTCGTGGCCTATCTATAGGTCCTTGAAAGGCTGTGCCCTGTACAGTTTGTTTTTGCCAACTGTGAGTTTTAATGGTCTGCAAGGTGGGTTTTGAGTACATAAAAAGACTCCAGAGATTTACTTTTGTTGTAAAAATTAATATTTGCTTTATTACATTTAGATTCATATCTTTTTTTTTTTGAGATGGAGTTTCGCTCTTGTTACCCAGGCTGGAGTGCAATGGCACGATCTTGGCTCACCTCAACCTCCACCTCCTGGGTTCAGGCAATTCTCCTGCCTCAGCCTCCCGAGTAGCTGGGATTACAGGCACGTGCCACCATGCCCAGCTAATTTTTTATATTTTTAGTAGAGACGGGGTTTCACCATGTTGACCAGGATGGTCTCGATCTCTTGAGCTCGTGATCCACCCGCCTCGGCCTCCCAAAGTGCTGGGATTACAGGCATGAGCCACTGCGCCTGGCCTAGATTCATATCTTATTAAATCTTACACTGCTTAATTCGAGAACATTTTAACACTTGTATGTGGCTGTTGGATTAACATTGATACATATTTGCAAATTTATACTTTAAAACTTTTTTTTTTTTTTCACACAGGGTCTCTGTTGCCCTGGCTGTAGTGCAGTGGTGCCATCGTAACTCACCAGCAATCTCAACTTCCCAGGCTCAAGCGATTCCCCCCTCCCCACCTCAGCCTCCCAAGTAGCTGGGGCCACAGGGACCACTGGCATGCGCTAGCATGCTTGACTAATTTTTAATTTTTTTTAGAGATAGGGTCTTGCCATGTTGCCCAGGCTGGTCGCAAACTCCTGAGCTCAAACGATCCTCTTGCCTCAGTCTCCCGAAGTGCTGGGATTACAGAAGTGAACCACCGCGCCTGGCTCAAACTTCTATTGTGCTTATACATGTAATAGATGTAATTACTTTTTTCAAGCACCAGTTTTTTGCGAACCTTACAAAGCTGCCTTCAGTTTTCCTCAAGTTCACCCTTCCGCCTTCACTCACCTCGCCTTCCTGAGTTTTGTGTATACCCTATAATGGCAAATAATGTCTTGAAACCTCTTTTTCTCTTTAAAATATGCTTTTAAAAGTCAGATTTATTGAAGTGTAATTTGTGTAAGGTGAAATCAAAAAGTCCTTAGCATTGTCTGTAGATTTTCCTTGCTTTTGAAAAATTTTGTGATTCATCTAAGAATTTGGCCCATTCCTCTTCCTTTCTTCTCCAGAGTGGATCAAGCTGGAGTATATATAGCTCATTTAGTTAGTGTTGGGTAGTGGCCAGGGCAGAGGCACCACAGAAAGAGATGGATTTGAAACCCCCTACTCCCTGCACAAGGCCTGCCAGAAACTGCGCAGCAGTGAACACACTACGCAGGCGCTGTTAGGAGGCTTCAGTGGGCGGCCCACGAACATGCGCATGCGCAGACACCCTCAGGTGACGGGATTCAGCTTTACAGCTCTAACTGGAGAGTTGCTTCTACTTTGCGTCAGGTAGAGGGGAGCTGTGAGCTGGAAGGTGGGGGAACTCATCATGTATTGTGCGCTTCCTGTGTGCCAGGCACACTTTAGATACGCTATAACGTTTCATCTTTTTTTTTTAATTAAAAAAATTTCAAAACAAATACAAATGTGCAGAAAAGTTATGCATACAGTCGATACAAAGAACTGGTTTTGTTTCCTGACCCATTTGGGAGTTGTCAGCCGGAGCCCCCTCATTTCCAGATAGTTGGGTATGCAAAAGAATCTTGGGGGCCGGGCGCGGTGGCTCACGCCTATAATCCCAGCACTTTGGGAGGCCGAAGCGGGCGGATCGCTTGTGCTCAGGAGTTCACGGGCAGCATAGTGAGACCCTGTGTCTACTAAAAGTTAAAAAAAAATTAGCCACGTGTGGTGGTGCACGCCTGTGGTCCCAGCTGCTCAGGGGACTGAGATGGGAAGATTGCTTGAGCCCAGGAAGTCGAGGTTGCAGTGAGCCAAAATCTAATACAGGCATCAAGTACGTTACTACGATCTGATCCTCAGACCCTATGCAGGTTCCCCACGTGTTGCAGTAACGTCCTTAACGGGGAAAAGACCTAGTTTGGAATCACGCGTTGCATTTCCTTCCCTCTAGTCTCCTTCTATCTAGAGGAGTTTCTCGGTCTTCCCTTGACTTTCATGGCTGTCATTTCTATTGGAGGACATTGATTTCCCAGAATGGATGCCTACTGGCATGTCTGATACTTGACAGGGATATCTGAGAGATAGTGCTATATTCTCATTGTGTCTCATCCGCTTGTGTGGGACTGGGATTTGGGGATGTTCACTGATCCCTTGGGGCAGGTGGCAGAGGCGCCTCCAGTGCAGTCCCTGGACTAGGCCTTCCTGGCAGGTCGGCGGGCGCCACCTGGCGGCCATGCCGACTCGTTGTGCTCCAGTCGCCCCTTCCCTCTTGCGGTCTTGGCCTGGGGCGGTTCCCTGTAGAGTGGGAGGCTGGGGCTGGTGCGGGGAACAGGGGACTGTGGGGCCGGCGCAGACGGGTCTCCAGGTCATGCGGGGCCCCTCTGCTCACAGAGAGCAGCCAGGGGAGGGTACTCTTTGTTTACTTCTGTATTTCTCTGCCTATCTGTCTGTGGAAACCACAGATTTTCATCACCACAAGATGCTAAGTGGTCCTCTCCGAGACAGACTGACTGACTTTCTTTTCTTTTCTGATTTTTTTTTCTTTTCTTTCTTTCCTTCCTCTCTCTCTCTTTCGTTTTTAAAAGTCTATTTATTTAGAGACTAGATTATGAAACTGGCTAAGTTTTGTGTATTTTGTAGAGGCAGGGTTTCATCTCAAACTCCTGGGCGCAGGTGATCCACCGGCCTCGGCCTCCCAAAGTGCTGGGATTACAGGCGTGAGCCACCGACCCTGGCCTTTTTAGTTTTTTTTTTTTTTTTTTTAGACAAGGTCTTGCTCTGTTGCCCAGGCTGAAGTCCAGTGCCATGATCTCAGCCCACTGCAGCCTTGAACTCCTGTACTCAAGAGATCCTCCCATCCAGGCCTCCCAGAGTGTTAGGGTTGCAGGCTGAGTCACCATGCTGGGCTGAGGCATCTTTCTAAGTGTTTTTGCTGAAAGTGAGAAGACTGGCTTCCATTACCCTCAGTGTTTTTATTTCCGTGATCACCCCTTTGTAATTAAGTTCTAGTGTTCCCCGTGTGAATGCACACCTTGTCCCACCTGGGCTCTGACACTGGCAGGGTTCCTTCTCATCTAATATGTCCATACCCCTCATCCTACAGACCCTGACTCCTGAGTCAGGCTGCCCTTTATTGGGGACCCTTGTATTACCGTGCTTGGCCCTGACGCCTCTTGCCAGGGTGCCACTCTATGGGAAGGCCCCCTGCACTGCGCTTGGGTGCTGACACTCTGCCCTGGGCCCTGCCTCACCACTGTTACCCTGCACCTGCATCTTGCTCTGCCCTGTCTAATCTAGGTCTGTATTATTCAGGGAGAGGAGAGGATACATGTTCCCTGTCACTGGAATAACAGCTCTGATGATGGAGTTGATTTTCATTTCATAATTGCAATTTTAGTTATAGTGAAAGAGACATACATTTGTATTGGAGCAATTCATGGATATATCTGCAAAAAAGAAAAATATAGTTTGAATAGCAGTTTGAATATGAGGTTGTTTTTTATGGTGATTATAGGGAGCCGTAAAAGGCAGCAGAGGCTGGCTGTGTAGGTGGAGGGCAGCTTGCCCAGTTCGCAGAGGTGGGAGTAGGATGTTGGAGGAAGGTATATCAGTCCTGTCTGGCCAAACCCATGTTGGAGTCCCCTCAAAAGCAGTGGCAGGGGAGTTCCCTCAAGGGGCTGCTCCAGACTGTCTAGAGATGGGGCCGGCTGGGATTCCAAAGAAAGAAGCACTAAACGCCAGGGTGATTGGTCCACAGCATATGAAGGGAACTTCCAAGGAGCTGCAGCAGTCCTGGGACGGCCAGTGAGAGCAAGGGACGTTTACCTAGGGATGTTCGCCGCCAGGGCGTTGGGTTATGGAGTGGACATGGGAGTTTAAAGACGTCGTCATGCGGGACGAGTTTGTCGGTGTTTCTCAGCAGGGTGAATCTCCCAGTGTTCTCCAGCAACAGCCTTCACTCTTTATCTCTTTATCAGTCCTGGGAACATTCATGGCCCCAGTTTGGGTTCAAGCCTGCAGGGAAACACACAACTGGCTGGGTCACAGAGTGGTCAGGGCATAGAAATAAGGTAGGGTGGGGGGGACTGGGGTTCCCTCCTGTGGGCCGTGATGGAAAGTGCTGATCCCCGCTGTCCATGCTGCCAGATGTCCAGGATGCTGCAGAAGGACGCCGAGCAGGAGTCCCAGATGAGAGCAGAGATCCAGGACATGAAGCAGGAGCTCTCCACGGTCAACATGATGGACGAGTTTGCCAGATACGCCAGGCTGGAAAGAAAGATCAACAAGATGACGGATAAGCTCAAAACCCACGGTACTGCGTCTGCTGCAGCCTGAAGGCTTCACGAGAACTGACTGATAGAGAAGCCTTTATGTAAAGAGCCCCAGAATATACACTTTGCTTCTTGATGTTCTGAATGTTGATAAACTTTTAAGTTATCTGGTGGAAACTCAGTAATAATTACTACTTTCTCCTTATTTGCTGGTGAACCTTTGCTTTTTAAGCACAGAAACATCTAAGATCCTCTCAGATTTTCCTCAGAGCCAACTTGTTATTGTAGGTTTTCATTTTCTTTTTATTTATTTATTTTAAAGACGGGGTTTCACCATGTTGGTCAGGCTGGTCTTGAACTCCCTACCTCAGGTGATCCGCCCACCTTGTCCTCCAAAGTGCTTGGATTACAGACGTGAGCCACCACGCCTGGCCCAGGTTTTCATTTTCAAATTCATCACTTTTCTGAGAGAAGCCCAGAAAAAAGTCTCACAGTGGATTCTCAGAGGCTTTTGTTCTACTCTCTAGAAAAATGCCCAGCAGTGTTGTGTTCTGAGGGCAGCCTTCAGGTACAAGCTCCTGCGGTGAAGAGCTCTTTCTCAGGGCAGCCTGTGTGCTGAGGTATCCTGTTGGTGTGTACACAGTCAGAGAGCTGTCTCTGTGGCCAGGAAAACAGACAGAGGGGCCTGTCCCGGCAAAGGACAAGCTGCACTGCCACCAGGGAGTCATGTACTATGCAGCGTGGGAAATGGGGGGAAATTGACTCCTGTTGGTAAGGGGTAACTGCATTATACAAAGAACCTTTCATTCCATGAGGCATTTTAAGAGTTTTCAAAATTAAAGGTATTCAAATCTCACAATCTGAGTGTGATTCTATTTTAAATAATGGCATAATGAGATGGTAGGTGACTTAATTCTATTTTATATTTTCTAAATATATTGAGTGATTATTCCCTTATAAAACAGTTTTATAAGGGAAAATAACATTTCTGTGTATTTGAATATTTCATTAAGTTTTCAGGACTGACATAATTATTTATCCTATTTTTCCTTTCAGTGAAAGCTCGGACAGCTCAATTAGCCAAGATAAAATGGGTGATAAGTGTGGCTTTCTACGTACTGCAGGTAAGTGTTCTAGAGAGCTACCTGGGTCACTGGAGCTGGGGACACCGGGCCTCGAGCGGTGCCTGCAGATCCAGGCCGGGAGTTGGGCTGTTCCACCTTCAGCTGTCGTGTCGCGTGGTCCCGCGCACACGGAGCTCTGAACACTCTCTAAGTCAGAAAGCCTTTCTCTTGGGGTGAGTTGTTAAAGTTGGGACTTTTTGGCAGGTGAACTGTGAAGTAACTTCTTGGAGCGCTTTCGCCATCGCTTCATCCCAGTGCGGTTTGAAGGGCCTGGCAGGATGCAGTGAGAAGCTTAGAGATGACTTCGTTCTTTTCTGAGATTTTCAATCATTTTGGCCCTTACTCGGTAACTGGTCTACTTCATGGGCACTCTCTGCTCTCCGGGTAGAGAACCAGGTTTTCTGACTGGAATTGGCTTCTAGCTTCCTGTCTGAGGCTTAACCCACGTGGCCTCTCCTGGAGCTGTTGCTGGGCTCGCGTTTGTGCCGCCCAGACATCTTCGGCAGCTGTGTAAACATCTGAGTTGCAGTACTGTGTGATCCAGTACTGAGTCGGAGCGTTCCAGCCCACCCCCAGAAAACTTAGTTTGGAGGGTTATATTTAAGGAAATTGATCCTGAGGCACTGTCACTTGCTAAGAGATAGGTTTCTTGCAGACAAAGGAGTTAGGCCAGCAGCCTGCTTTCATGTCTCCTCTTCTTTTTTTTTTCTTCCCTCCCTCTTCCATGTCTCCTCTTCTAAGTGGCCTATTCAAGCCGAAAGGGGACAGATGACAGTTGAAGGAATGCTGCTGGGGGAAGGAGGGAAATAAAGCATCCCCTACCATTGAAAATTACATGCTTACCTCTGCGTGCCCTGCTAACACTGGTGTATGTGAGAAATTCGCTCTTTATTTCAGGGATGGCTTTTTGTCACTAATAAGGTATATTTGGCAAACAGTCCAGCTACTCAAAGGAGATACTCAGTGAGAAAAGCACACCCGTGTTATGGGAGACTTTGGTTAGCTTATGAGCTAATTTAAATTATGTGTAGATTATATTCATCCTAAAACAGTGAAATGGCAACTCCCCTGTGAACGCTCGCCTGCTTGCTGACAGTGTTCCACACGTGCTGCCGAGCTCGTCTTTAATTGCGCTTCCTACTTCAAGGTTTCACCAGGGGACATTAGTGGCCGTGCGTGCTCATCTGTCATCTGTGGGGGCTGGGTTCACAGCTTGAGGTGGTTCAGTCTGGAGGGTTTTCCTGGTTTTGTTTCTGCATTTCCCTGTCTTCCTGTGTGTTGTGGGTTGTGTGATTGGCAGGCTGCGTCACTCACCAGAGGTGTCTTTCCAGGCTGCCCTGATGATCTCACTCATTTGGAAGTACTATTCTGTTCCTGTGGCCGTTGTGCCGAGTAAATGGATAACCCCTCTAGACCGCCTGGTAGCCTTCCCTACTAGAGTAGCAGGTAAGAATTTTCTGGAAGATACAGTGGAAGAGTGTGGAGAGGCTTATGTAGAAGTGTGTGGTAGAAGATTAAGTTAGCCTGACATCCTCCTCACCGTCTATTTAGTGAGCGGGGTTTTGTGCCTCATGCCGTGAAGAAACTGAGGTCTAGAAAAGTTACTTCAGCTGTCCGGTGTCACCAGAATGTTAAGGAGCAAAGCTGGAATTCAGTCCGACGTCTGTTTCCAGGATTCATGCCCAATACGGCAAGTCTGATACCCCCTTGAAACACTACCTGTTGTTCCAAAATTCTGTGTCTTTTCAGTCCCCGTTATGGTTGACCTCTCCGTAGCACTTGCTGCTCTTGGCTATTTTCTCTTCTTTTTGTTTTGTTTGTTTTTTTTTGAGCTAGAGTTTCACTCCGTCACCCAGGCTGGAGTGCAGTGGTGCGATCTCAGCTCACTGCAACCTCCGCCTTTGAACTAGCTGAAATTACAGGTGTGCACCACCATGCCCAGCTAATTTTTGTAGTTTTAATAGAGATGGGGTTTCACCATGTTGGCCAGGCTGGTCTCAAACTCCTGACCTCAAGTGATCCTCATGCCTCGGCCTCCCAAAGTGCTGGGATTACAGGCATGAACCACCATGCCCGGCCACATTCCTTTATTTTTGAAGATAATTTTTTTTGGCTATCAAAAGTAGTACATGTCACTCTAGAATGATTAGGAATATAGCTATCATTTAAAAGTCCCAGCCGGGCACAGTGGCTCATGCCTGCAGTGCTAGCACTTTGGGAGGCCAAGGTGGGCGGATTGCCTGAGCTCAGGAGTTTGAGACCAACCTGGGTAACATGGTGAAACCCCGTCTCTACTAAAGTACAAAAAATTAGCCGTGAGCGGTGGTGGGCACCTGTAATCCTGGCTACTCGGGAGGCTGAGGCAGGAGAATCACTTGAAACCAGGAGGTGGAGGTTGCAGTGAGCTGAGATCATGCCACTGCACTCCAGCTTGGGTGACGCAGTGAAAAATAAATAAAATAAATATATATTTATAAAATAAAAAAATAAAAAAAAAAATAAAATAAATAAAAAAAATAAATAAATAAAAAATAGGATTCCCATTAGCTTTTAATGCTATGATAGTTTTTCTTTGTCTTTTTCCCCCCATTTATTTTGATGTAGTTAAGGTCATCTGACGCGTAACATTTTATCCTGTTTTTCACTTTGTAGTGTAAGCCTGCTCCCACGTGACTTAGTCTGTTCAGGCTAAGTGAAGTACTGTAAACTGGGCAGCTAATAAACAACAGACATGTATTTCTCAGTGTTCTGGAGACTGGCGAGTCCAGCAGATTTGATGTCTGGCCCCTTTTCCAGTTCCTGGCTGGTGTCTTCTCGCTGTATCCTTGCGTGGTGGAAGGACGAGCTCCTTCAGGCCTCTTTTATAAGGGCATAACCCCATTCGCAAAGACTCTGCCCTTAATCACCTCCCTGAAGGCCCCAACTCTTAATACCCTCACTGGGGGTGGGCAGCACATTAACACAGGAATTGTGGGGCATGCAGACACTCATTCCATAGCACCGTATCAGTAAATTTCTTTCTTCTCTTTTTCTTTTTTTTTTTTTTTGAGACAGGGTCTTGCTCTGTTGCCCAGGCTGGCAGTGGTACCCTCACAGCTCACTACAGCCTCTAAACTCCTGGGCTCAAGTGATCCTCCCACCTAAGTCTCCTGAGTAGTTAGGATCATAGTTGCACACCACCATGCCCAACTAATTAAAAAAATGTTTTTTTTAATAGAGATGGGGTCTTGCCTAGGTCGGTCTCAAACTCCTGCTGTAAGCAATCCTCCCTCCTCAGCCTCTCAGAGTGCTGGGATTATAGGCATGAGTCACCTTGCCCGGCAGATTTCTTTATTAAGGAATTTTCAATAGCTATTCCTCAGTTAGTAGGTCATAATTTGCAAGTTTTCCTGATGGAGGGTATTTATTTGGGTCCTAATTGTTTACGCTGAAAGATAATGCTGCAGCACACACCCTTGCTGGTCTTTGGCTGTGATTTGTGGTTATTGCTAGAGGTGAATACTGTATCAAAAAAAATGACTATTTCTTTCTCTTTTTTTTTTTTGAGACAGAGTCTCCCTTTGTCACTCAGGCTGGAGTGCAGTGGCGCAGTTGGCTCACTGCAACCTCCCGCCTCCTGGGTTCAAGCAATTCTCCTGCCTCAGCTTCTTGAGCAGCTGGGACTACAGGCACATGCCACCACGCCCAACTAATGTTTTGTATTTTTAGCAGAGATGGAGTTTCATGACGTTGGCCAGGCTGGTCTTGAACTCCTGACCTCAGGTGATCCACCCACTTTGGCCTCCCAAAGTGCTGGTATTACAGGCGTGAGCCACTGAGCCTGACCAGGAATTACTATTTTGAAGACTCCCAATGTAGCTGCCACCTCTGTCCCCTTCCCCACCCTTTCCTTCCCCTTTCCTTTGTTTGACACAGCTGGGCCCAGGCCAGGAGCTCTGCACTGCTGGCCAGAGAAGCATCCAGCCACCCTTCCATGCATCAAGCAGGGCCATGGGCCACTCTTGCAGCCTGCCTTCCTGGACAGGAGAATGTGTGTGCCTCGCCATTATTGGTGGGGCAAGAATGGCATAGGTAGACATTGGTTTGTTTAAAATGCTTTTTGAGAAAGGGAAAATAAATAATCTTACAGGTTTGGTTTTGGAATCTATTAATATCATAAATAGTAATGTACATCTCTCTGGCAGGAAAGGGAAAATCAACCCAGTCTTCACTGTTGAGTGCAATTCCTGCTTAGAAAGGAATGCAGCCCTGTGATTCTGTAGAAAGTAACTGATTCGAACCTATGAAACATATAAACTTTGCCTGAGCACAGCACTGCTCAAAAAGAATGGCAATAGTCTCTTTGCTGTGGGTTAACGGCAGCAGAGGCAGATGTGGACAGCACTGGTGGCACGCTGTCTCATAGCAAATTTCTTTATTTTCAGGTGGTGTTGGAATTACCTGTTGGATTTTAGTCTGTAACAAAGTTGTGGCTATTGTGCTTCATCCGTTCAGCTGAACAGGAAGATGGATACAGCTACGAGGCTTTTAAAAATGGATTTTCTCTTATTACGTTAACAATCTGATTTATACTTTTTTTTTTTAAGAAACAAAAGTACACAGTTTAGATTTTTTTTTGTTGAATATGTTTGTTCTTGGACTTTATGAGAGATTCTTGTAAGAATCAGGATTTTCTACACTTGTCATTGAGCCAAGAAAGTCCAGTTTATAACACATTTATACCAACGAACGCCGTCCTGGACCCGTATGAAATGTGAAACGTTCGGGGGTGTCTCCGTGCTGCTGCCCGTGATTTGCACTCTTGTATATTTTGGTCATATTGCCAGCCGGAAAGTCAATATTTTCTAACAACTTAAGTTCTGTGAAGACTTAGCACCGCTTTTCATCAGTTTAGAAAGTAACTTAATTTTAATACCACTGCTAAGAATTTGAGAATTTCTTCTTTAATCACTTTCAGTACAACTAAAAGAAAACACTAATTGACATTGCCTGGGCTTTTTCTTCCTCTGTTTAAAATGTCATTTGAGCAAGAGCTGTATACTATTATCTACTTACTTGAGGCTGTTAGTTTTTCATTACAGTGTTTTGTAAACGTATCCATGAGACCATAATGCATTGTTTTGTGCTCAAATTGTGTTTTGTATTTAAAGCATTTTGAATGAAGTGTATTTTGTAAGCATTTAATATTTATGCTCTTTAGAATGGAACATAGGAAACAGAGCTTATGAGGCCTGATTAAATTATTCTGAACCAATAACCTGTGTGGCCCACAAAGTATAATTCTGCTAATGTATTTTAAAACACTTTTCTAATTAAAGTCTTGGCAAATGCTCATGTGACTTCCTGCCTTACAGTCACTGTTTGCTGAGTGCCTGTTAACTGAGTAACCATATCACAGTAAAGCTGAATTCTGTCACGAGTTTTTGCAGGTTCGTCTTTGTATTCTTTCCCTAATCTAATAAGTAGCTTGTCCTTATTTTAGCTGATTGGACTGTGAGAAGACAAAGTGCTGTGGTCCTTTAGTTTTATTGTCATACCGAAGACCACCAGAGCAGCTTTTGGGTTCCACCTACTCAAACTCACATCCACTGCAGGCTTACCCAGCACCATGTTTACTTGGCTTTAAGAAAGGACCGAGAGCAGGGAACACAGCTGCAGCCTGGAGGAGGACTTGGACACCAGCTTCCAGTGTCCTTCACCACCTGGGATACAATTTGCCCACAAAGGATGAGAAGCCAACCTGAGGAGTAAATGAGAGCAGCACACGGAAGCTGCAGGGACTATTCCCTCAGACGAAATGTAGCACCAAGGGGCCACGTGCCTAACTTCCATTTGAGTGAGCTGCAGGCAGAAATGATGGTGGGACAGTCAACAATGCACCGGCCAGGTAGAGCGTGTCCAGGGAGGTGTTTGGATCACACATCTGTGTACAGTATCCCTGCTGAGACCCTTATCTCTTGAAGACATATTCAGCTGTTACTGTTACAAGAATTTTGGCAAATCTCGCTGAGGCTAGAGGAAAAAATTCCTAGTTGACAGCTATTAACTTTCCCTATGCATAAATAGTTTATGATGATTAAATGGGGGAAATGTAAATGTCCTTTATGTTTTACGTTATAGTATCTTTTTAAAAATGATAGGTTTTTTTTTTGAGAGGGAGTTTCACTCTGTTGCCAGGCTGGAGTACAGTGCTGCGATCTTGGCTCACTGCAGCCTCTGCCTCCCAGGTTCAAGTGATTCTCCTACCTCAGCCTCCTGAGTAGTGGGATTACAGGCACGTGCCTCCACACCCAGCTAATTTTTGTATTTTTAGTAGCGAGGGGGTTTTACCATGTTGGCCAGGTTGGTCTTGAACTCCTGACCTCAGGTTATCCACCCACCACGGCCTCCCAAGGTGCTGGGATTACAGGCGTGAGCCATGCCCAGCCTACAAGTTAACATATGATGAACATGGTGCTGAATTGAGACGATAGAGAAAGGGCTACAGTAAATGTGCATCTTAGACTCTTGTCACCCAATTTCCCGAAGTTTTCCTCTGTTACCAGTTTCTTACGATACTACCAGTGATAGTCCATGCATTTATGAATATTAATGTATATGCTTTTAAGATCAATGTTTTAAAGTTTTAAAAGTAATACCTAGAAAGATAAAAGTAGTACCTATTTACTGCTCTTTAAAAAAAATCTAACTTGGGAAGTATAGAAAAGAAGCAAGGAAGAAAAACCTGTGACTCCACAGAGCGAGGGTGACTGGTGTGAGCATCAGTGCTTTTCCTTTCTTCTATAAATGTCTGTATAATGTGGAAACGTAATGGCAATGATAGTTTTTAAAAAAATTTTATTTATTTTTTGAGATGGAGCTTTGCTCTGTCACCCAGGCTGGAATGCAGTGGTGCAATCTTGGTTCATTGCAGCCTCCACCTCCCAGGTTCAGGTGATTCTTCTGCCTCAGCCTCCGAAGTAGCTGGGACTAGGCTTGTACTATAACACCTTTTTTTTTGTATGTTTAGTAGAGCCGGGGTTTCACCATGTTGGACAGGCTGGTCTCGAACTCCTGACCTCAGGTGATCTACCTGCCTCAGCCTCCCAAAGTGTTGGGATTATAGGCATGAGCCACCGCACCCAGCCGGTTTTTGTTTCTATTTGAAAAATACTGGATAAATTTTATAACTTTACTTGAGAACACATATCTCTTTGATTTAAAATACACCTAAGCTCTCTTAATACCAATTTTGACATAAATTTATGGTAAATCAAGCAGGCAAATATTTTTATATATTAATCCATAATCTTTTTTTACTTTTTTTTTTTTTTTTTAATAGAGACAGAGTCTCACTATGTTGCCCAGGCTGGTCTCAAACTCTTGGGTTCAAGGGCTGGGATTACAGACTTGAGCCACCAGACCCAGCCTGTAATCATTTAATCATTTTTTATGGATTTTATTTGCTCCTCTTGCCGCCATAAGGGGATGGAATGCTAGGCAAACTGGTTTACTCTCCCCTGACCTGGGGGTCTCTCTGGCTTTCCAGTTTTTCTTACATAGTGCTTCGTGGGAGAGGGTGTGTGTGTGTGTGTGCGTGTGTGCGCGCGCGCGCGGATGTGCTGACTGCACCAGGAACCAGAGCTTTAGACTTTATAAAGCTTTCTCCGACCCCCTGACAGTGGTAATTTCTTTTGCTTTCCCATCCTCATCTGAGCATGTAAAGTAATATCTGTAAGACTGATTTGTGGTGTCTGCTGTTGTGGTTTTGTGTCTAACGTTTTGGGTCCTTTTTGTGTGTGTGTGATAAAAGGTGGTTATTTCAGTGATGCTGCAAGTGCCTTTAGGGCCAGAGGTGGCTCCCTGAGCTTTTCTGTGCTCCCCCAGCATGCCTTACGTCATGCTTGTAAGTGAAGAACTCTGGCTCTTGACAGGTAGCTCAAGCCTGTAATCCCAACACTTTGGGAGGCCGAGGCAGGTGGATCACTTGAGGCCAGGATCGAGCAGATTTAATACATGTGTGTGTGCTGACTGCTCAGCACGCCTTAAGTCATACCCAGGAGTGTTTTACTCAGAATCACATAATGGTTTTCCATTAGAGTCATGTATGGAGTCTGTTTTCTTTGCAGTTGAAATGTTACCAATTAACAACTGTCAGGAGAATTTTCTTTTTCTTTCTTTTTTTTTTTTGAGATGGAGTTTTTGCTTGTTACCCAGGCTGGAATGCAATGGCACCATCTTGGCTCACCGCAACCTCTGCCTCCTGGGTTCAGGCAATTCTCCTGCCTCAGCCTCCCCAGTAGCTGGGATTACAGGCACGCGCCACCATGCCCAGCTGATTTTTTGTATTTTTAGTAGAGACGGGGTTTCACCATGTTGACCAGGATGTTATCGATCTCTTGACCTCGTGATCCACCCGCCTTGGCCTCCCAAAGTGCTGGGATTACAGGCTTGAGCCACCGTGCCCGGCCTGTCAGGAAAATTTTCTAAGTGGTGCTCTCTAATGAGGCCTGCAGTATACAGCACTTTGGTGTCGTCACAGATTCAAAGCCACATGTGACTGGTTTGCACACCATTAGAATCCCAGGCCAGGCAGCGCATCCTGTCTCTGGGCCCAGAGCTCCTTCTTGTTTGTGTGGGTCAGCTTTCCTGCCTGCATCTTTAGGATCTAATGTGTGTAAATCTATCAACACCGAGTGCTGACTCTTACCAGTGAATTCAGTCTTAGGAATATTGGGTAGTTTTGGCCAATACTGTGGGTAAGGATATTGGACTCTATAGGGTAATCATTCCTTTTATGTAGCCCAAATTCTTTTCCTGTATTTTTTTTTTTTTTTTAAGAGATAGGGTCTCGTTCTGTCACCCAGGCTGCACAGGGTCTCATTCTGTCACCCAGGCTGGAGTACAGTAGCACAATCATACATAGCTCACTACAACCTTGTACTCCTGGACTCAAGTGATCCTCCAGCCTCAGCTTCCTGAGTAGCTGGGATTACAGGCATGTGCCACTTTCCTGGCTGTTTCTCATTTTTTATTTTTGTACAGAACAAGATCTGACTGTGTTACCCAGGCTGGTCTCGAACTCCTGGGCCAAAGTGATCCTCCTGCCTCAGCCTGCTGAGTAGCTGGGACAACAAGTATGTGCTACAACTCTGGAAGAATTAAATTTTTGTATAGAAGGGGTCTCATTATGTTGCCCAGGCTGGTCTCAAAGTCCTGGCCTCAAGTGATCCCCCTGCCTCAGCTACCCAGAGTGCTGTGATTACAGGTGTGAGCCACTGTGCCCAGCCACTATCCTTGTATCTTTTCAAACAATAGTCTTTAAATACTGAGAGGTATAAAATATTGTTTAAAATATATAAATTTTAAAGAATAAAAATACAATACACCATAAAAACCCTAGAAGACAACCTAGGCAATACCATTCAGGAATAGGCATGGGCAACGACTTCATGACTAAAACACCAAAAGCAATGGCAACAAAAGCCAAAACAGACACATGGGATCTAATTAAACTCCAGAGCTTCTGCACAGCAAAAGAAACTATCATTAGGGCGAACCGGCAGCCAACAGAATGGGAAAAAATTTTTGCAATCTACCCATCTGACGGCTAATATCCAGAATCTACACAGAACTTAAATTTACAAGAAAAAAACAACCCCATCAAAAAGTGGGAAAAGGATATGAACAGACACTTCTCAAAAGAGATTTATGCAGCCATAGCCAACAAACATGAAAAAAAGCTCATTACAGGTCATTAAAGAAATTCAAATCAAAACCTCATTGAGATGCCATCTTACGCCAGTTAGAATGGTGATCATTAAAAAATCAGGTGACAGATGCTGGAGAGGATGTGGGGAAATAGGAACACTTTTACACTGCTGGTGGGAGTGTAAGTTAGTTCAACCATTGTGGAAGACAGTTTGGCGATTCCTTAGGGGATCTGTAACTAGAAATACCATTTGACCCAGCAATCCCATTACTGGGTATATACCCAAAGGATTATAAATCATTCTATTATAAAGACACGTGCACATGTTTATTTGTGGCACTGTTCACAATAGCAAAGACTTGGAACCAACCCAAATGTCCATCAGTGATACACTGGATAAAGAAAATGTGGCACATAAACACCGTGGAATACTATGCAGCCATAAAAAAGGATGACTTAATGCCCTTCGCAGAGACATGGATAAAGCTGGAAACATGATTTTCAGTAAACTGACACAAGAACAAAAAACCAAGCACCACATGTTCTCACTCACAAGTGGGTGTTGAACAATGAGAACACATGGGCACAGGGAGAAGAACACACACCGGTGCCTGTGGGAGTGGGGGGCTAGGGGAGGGATGACGGGGGTGGGGGTATTGGGGAGGGATAGCATTAGGAGAAATTCCTAATGTAGGTGACGGGGTGATGGATGCAGCAACCCACCAGGGCATGTGTGTACCTATGTAACACCCCTGCATGTTCTGCATATGTACCCCGGAAGTAAAATAAAAAAATATATATACAAATGTTTCACCCAAGTTTTAGGGGGAGAACCTTTGTAGCTCCCATGAGCAGGGGTAACCACTGCTCTGAGTTTTATCATTTCCTATTCATAGTTTTATCACATATTTGAGTCTGTAAAAATACACTGGTTTCGCATGCTTTCCAGCATGCAGACATTTCTGTTTCTTTGTGCTTTGTGGATACTGTATTTTCACAAATTGAAGGTTCGTGGCAACCCTGCATCAACGCCATTTATCAACAGCACATGCTCACTTTTGTGTCTGTGTTACACTTCGGTAATTCTCACATTTCCCATTTTTTCATTATTATCTATATGGTGGTCTGTGGTCAGTGATATCTGATGTTACTATTGTAATTGTTTTGGGGCATCAAAAACTATACCTGTATGAGGCCGCAGATTTAATGAATACATGTGTGTGTGCTGACTGCTCCACTGACTTAGCCATTGCCCCTCCTCTCCCCCTCTCCCCAGGGCTCCCTATTCCTTAAGACACAAAAATGTTGGAATTAGGGCAACCTTGGTCCCTAATTTCAATAATGGCCCCTAAATGTTCAAGTGAAAGGAAGAGTTGCATGTCTTTCATGCTAGCTTTTTTTTCTTTTTTTGAGATGGAGTTTCGCTGTTGTTACCCAGACTGGAGTGCAATGGCATGATCTTGGCTCACTGCAACCTCTGCCTTCTGGGTTCAAGCAATTCTCCTGCCTCAGCCTCCCAAGTAGCTGGGATTACAGGCACGCACCGCCATGCCCAGCTAATTTTTGTATTTTTAGTAGAGACGGGGTTTCACCACGTTGACCAGGATGGTCTCGATCTCTTGACTTCGTGATCCACCTGCCTCGGCCTCCCAAAGTGCTGGGATTACAGTCGTGAGCCACCGCACCCAGCCTATTTTTTTTTTTTTTGATAAAAAGTCTTTTGATCATATTGTTCCCTTTCAAAGCTGCTGCCATATTTTGTTTTTGTTTTTTGAGACAGGGTCTCACTCCATTGTACAAGCTGGAGTGCAGTGGCATGATCACGTCTCACTGAAGCTTTGACCTGGGCTCAAGTGATTCACCTCAGCCTCCCAAGTAGCTGGCACTACAGGTGCACACCACCACACCTGGCTAATTCTCGTAATTTTTGTAGAGACGGTGTTGCACCATATTGCCCAGGCTGGTCTTGAACTCCTGGATTCAAATGATCTCCCCGCCTCGGCCTCCCAAAATGCTGGGATTACAGGCATGAACCACTGCACCTGGCCTGCTTCCATGTTTTTCAGTTACAACTCAATTCTATTGCTGATAAATTTTGTTGCGTATGAGATGCATATGTCTTGGGTTGGCTACCTTATAGTTAGTAGCTATGGAGTCCCAGTGAATATTAAAACCATATAATAAACCAGTCTTCCAGAAGATAATGGATATTTCAGTTGTAAAGATGTAAATTTGTATTTAAAGTGTTATTATTGCCTCATATAAAATGGATTTTTTACTAGATTAGCAATAAAACAAAAATTTAATTATTGAAAGTCAATGTAAGTACTTAAAGACACACACACTCCCTCAAACATTTCAAAAATAAGATGCAAGGCACATAAACAGCATTATATCAAATCAGAATGCATTAGGATATTGATTATATTTAAATAATTATTTTCCCTTTTCTTCTATAGGTGACGATGGCTTAATAGAATTTACCACAGTTACTTTAGAGTCTCCGAATGCATTGCTGGCGGAGGCCTGACTGGGAGGCAGGTCATGCAACCCCTTACTTTGCAAACGCTCCTCTGAGCCTCTTGTAACACCAGAACCTGACTGATCAGTTTTCAAGATGTAGTCTGAGCCTGATCCAAAGAGTTCTTCCATGAGACTGCTTTTTTTATCTTTGAAAGTTGTATCTTTCACTTTTGTTCTGGAAGACTTAACAAATGAGGGCTCATACCCACTGTCAGAATGCTCTGGCTCCCTTTCCTCTCTGTTACTGAGATGCTGGCCTGTACTATGACTGCACCTCGTGTTGCCGGCATTGGCTGGCCCACCCGAAGCAGGAAGCCCATGATGTAGGTTTTCAGTTGCTTCTGTGAATGAGTAATGCCTTCTTTGTCTGAGGGGGCCTTTCGTGTAGGGAGCAGTGCATTTGCCAGGTGTGCCATCCATGCCATTTCTCTGCATGCTTCTTTTAAACTTTTCTCTTACTAGATCATCTTGATTGGTTTCTCTTTCAGGATGAGTAACTTCAATTGTTTTTGGTGGCAGTTCTTGCTCTTCTTTCACTGAAATGGTTTTCTTTTCTTGGTCTTCTTTTTTGTCTTTTTGTCTTCCAAAATTCTCCAGTAGTACTTGTACTTCCAAATGCTTATCTTCCTTTAATAAATCTATATTAGAAAAATAGGCAGTTTAGTGCTGTTTAAAATTAATGGGTCTCTATTTCAAGATGGTATATTTAGTACACTTATTTGTACCACCTCACAAGCACATTGAAATGACAGATAAGAAAATAGATGCACAGACAATAGTTACAGAGAAACGTGCTATTAACAAATGTATTATAGTTTCTTAGAACTTTGCAGGCAAATGGGAATTATGAAACCAAAATAAAAATGACATCCATAGAAGAAGAAATAAAATTTGCCAACAAGCTTATTAATAGATGTTCAATATCCCTAACTGGATGTAGCCCAGTTAAACCAGTGAAGGCCAGGTGCAGGGGCTCATGCCTGTAATTCCAGCACTTTGGGAGGCTGAGGCAGAAGGACTGCTTGAGTCCAAGAGTTTGAGACCAGCTTGGGCGATATAGCAAAATCTCAACTTTACAAAAAAAAAAAAAAAAATTAGCCGGGTATGGTGGTGCCTGCCTGTAGTCCTTAGTCCTGGCTACTCAGAAGGCTAGGGTGGGAGGATCACTTGAGCCCAGGAGGACCACATTGCAGTGAGCTGTGATTGTGCCACTGCACTCCAGCTTGGGCAACGGAGCAGAACTGTTTCAAAACAAAACACAACACAATGAGGACATTTTTCATCCATCCATTTTGCAAATCATTTCTAGAGCTAGTGAAAAGATGGGGAAATTGGAATGTTTGATCCCCATTGGTGGGTGTGTTACTGGTACAGCACCTTTGGATGGGAATTTGGCAGTATCAACATTTTAAGTGAATATACTCTTAGACCCAACAACTTCACTTCTCAGAATGAACCTACAAAAAATAGACAAAGGTAAGTATAATGATGTTTACTGCAGCATAATTTAGTCACAATAAAACCTAAACATCCGCCAAAGGAATGATGATTAAACAAGGTATGGCATGTGCAGTCTGTGAAATTCTAGACCATTATAGACAATGAACTGGGTACATGTGGACTGATGGGGAAAGATGCTCCCACCCTAGAATATAAGCACATGAGGGCAGGGTACTTTGCATCTGCTTGCTGCTGTATCCCTAATGCCTTGAACAGTGTCTGACACGTAGGATATGCTCAAGAAATCCTTGTCAAACGAGTGGATAGACTTTCTAGGACGATATGAATTAGGACAATGGACTGAAACATCAGCGGAAAACTTAAAACACACCAGTGACCACAGCATAATTGCAGCTGATGATCAGTTTCCATCAGACTGCAACAGAGAAAGTAGCTTTACTGGCGAGTTCTGTCAAACTATTGTGTTATTCAAACCCAGTAGTTTGCCCTCACAACTAAGGCGTGGCCCTCCTTGGGCCTCTACTGAATGCCCAATGTGTTCTCCATGCTGCCTAAGGGAACACGTCTGATTTGCAGCCCTGAATGAACTCTGGGACTCATTAGTCATGCATGTTCTTTCCTCAGAAGTTGCTCTTGCCCACCCTTGTGAGGCTGTACCCAGATCTCCTGTGAGCAGTAATGTAACATGAAAGCAATGAGCCACATCTTTGAAATTCCAAAGGAAAATTACCCACAACTTAGAGTTTCCTATCTAGGCAATTATTAATGAAGTATAAGGGTGGAATAATGACACTTCCAGATAAGAGGTATACGAATTTACCTTACATGCACCATTTCCAAGAAGCACGGTTGCGCTCTTTAAGACATGATGGAATTTACCAAGAAAGAGGAGGACTTGGCTTAGGAAGAGAAGATCTAGTAGAGAAAGAGTGACAGGAATCTGCAGGAAATGATGAAGGGCGATCCCAGGATGGTGGCTCGACTAGACCTCCAGGTAGCAAACACCAGGGGAGCCAGGCCTTGGCCTGCCTTGCCCATGGCTGACAAAGTGTTGTACTCTATTGTACCCTGCAGCCTGGGCCAGCTCAGGACTCTCCTTGTACCCCTCGGAAGCAGTTTGTTTCCACCTACTCCCAAGAGCTGGAGGTAAGCTTTGGTGATCTTAGAGCAGGAAATTCTGAGCAGCCCATTCCCTTGGCCTTAGCTCTCTTGGGCCTGCTCAAAAGAGCCCTGCCAGATGCCATGGATCTGATGGCTTTTCTCTGTCCTAGGAGAATTCATGACTTCACCCACTGACTGGGCCCTTGTTCATTTAGGGGAGCTGAGGCTGGAGTCCTTTTCCTGGAAGTCTGTATTCAAAAGCGGCAATACTGCCCTTTGCTCAGCTGGATTTGAATCATTTGCTCTTCAGTTTTTCAAAGTTGAATATATTGTGTAAGGCTATTGTTATGAAATGGATGTTTGTATTCCTCCCTCCAAAATGTCATATGTTGAAACAAAAAAAACCAGAGTACTGGTGCTGTCAACTGACCCTTCCTCATGCAAGCATTTCATGTGGAAAGGCCACGTGAAGACAGAGTGAGAAGGAGGCCATCCAAAGCCAGGAAGAGAGCCTTAGCCAGAAGCCAAATGGCTAGAACTGTGATCCTGGACGTCCCAGCATCTAGAACCATGAGAAAATACGTCAATGTTGTTTAAGCCGGCAGTCTGCGGTATTTTCTTCTTATGGCAGCTCAAGCAGACAAATACAGACACATATGAAGACAGGGACCTGTGAGGAAAAGCAAGGGGATGACTGGCATAAAATCCAAGATGGTGGGCTCTGGTGGACAGGGCAAGGGGATATGACTGTGAAGGGCCCATGAGTGTTCCAAGGAGCACTCATGCACTGTTTCTTAAGCAGGGTACTGGGTACACAGGTGTTCCTTTTATTATATTTCAGGAAATTTTATGAGTTTTTTTTTTTTTTTTTTTCAGATGAGTCTATTGCCCAGGTTGGAGTGCAGTGGGGCGATCTTGGCTCATTGCAACCTCCACCTTCCAGCTCCAGGCGATTCTCCTACCTCACCCTCCTCAGTAGCTGAGATTACAGGTGCCTGTCACCATGCCCAGTTAATTTTTCCATTTTTGGTAGTGACAGGGTTTTACCATGTTGGCCAGGCTGGTCTCAAACTCCTGACCTCAGGTGATCTTCTCGCCTCGGCCTCCCAAAGTGCTGGGGTTACAGGGGTGAGCCACCATGCCCAGCTGTTTTATGTGTGCTTTATATACATACATAGTAATTCACACTTAAAAAAAAATCAAATAAGATAGACTTCAAAAAGTTGTTAAAATTACCTTCATATATTGTCTTAGAATCCTCTTGCTTTGGTAGTTTATTGACACAGTGAGGAATTTCACGATTTATTTCAGTTGCCTTTTCTTTGTGATCAGTGTTTCCTGTTGCCTTTTTACCCTATAATTTAGAAAGCAGCACAAACACATTTTGGGGGTGTCTAGATAACTTTAAGTTGCATTCTGTTCTAAGGACTTACACATACTTTTCGCACAGAACCAGTAGCCTCATTTGTTTCTGTTAAGGCGTGTTTAATTAGACACTGCAAGATTCCAGATTTACTGTACCTTAGTTGTCAAAGGTGGATCGTCTGATTTCTGGGTTGCCTGGTGTCTCATACTTGTGAATGGCAAACTTTTTCTGTCTGCTTGGACTGATTTTGTTGAAGAAACTATAGAACAGGTAGATTCTGTGTAAGAAACATGTTTTACATTTGGAGGCAATATTGATTTTAAGCATAAAATAATATGCAATGTAATAACAAAATATACTAAGTAGTTTCTAAACATTCAGTATATACCTAGCATGTGTTAGTTTCCTGTTTTTCCCTCCAGGGCCCTTGTTTTGTCTGTCCTTGGGCAGCACAGTGTTAGAGTACAAGGTAGGTGTGAGGATAAGACGGTGTTGCTGTTTGAGGACAAGGGTGTCCTCTGCAGAAGGGACTCAACACTGGAGACGTGTAACTGTGAGAGGCCAGGCCACCGAGCTATCCTGTGGCAGAGCTCTTGACTGACAGTGGTTAGACTGTCCATGCTGAGGCGCATGACCACTCAATCTAGACTGCACTCTCCCTGAAAAGTGAAGGAAATTCTATCATTTCAACAACCCCTTGGTTGATTCATCGTCTCTGGTGGCTGCTATTCTCGATTATAAACCGGAAACAGAGGCAGGCAAGGAAATTAGAGGTTGTTGCATTTGAAAGTAAACATGTAGTTACTTCTAACAACACAGAGGTGAGTATGCCTATGGTACTTCTGAGTAGAATCTGCTACTGGGAGTTCTTGGGGGAAAAGAAGTGCACATGGTCTTGAAGGAAACAAGGCTCTACCCATAAGAGGTGTGAACTAATGATAGGGGCGTCAGTATAGACGAATCTCAAAAGCACTATGCTGTACAAAAGCAGCCAGATACAAGAGAGTTCATGCTGCGTGATTCCACTTCCATGAAGTTCTAGATCGACAAACTAAGCTATTGTGACCACAGCGAAGTCAGTGGTGGCCTCGGGTGAGGTAGGGGACTACTGAGAGCAGGGCCACGAGGGAGCATCTTGGGGAGGTGGAAACATTCAGTATCGTGATTGGGGTGGTGGCTCCACGGGCACAAGCATCTGTCGAAACCCACTGAGCTGCATGTACACTTTATTGCACTCCAGTCTGGGTAACAACAGCGAAACTCCATCTCAAAAAAAAAAAAAAAAGGATGCATTTTACTGAGGTGAATATACCCCAAAAAAGTTCATTTTAAAAAGCCATATACTGGCTAACAAAGTTCAATGTTCGGCAGACATTTTGCTTAGAGTTGACGTACCCTCTTGCTCCACCTGAAGAAAGGACATAAGGGCTGTCTGGAGATGAGAGAACAGGAAAGCGTTTCTATTCTTTTATCTTTCAGGGTTAACTCACTTTATTTTTCTTGTATAAAAACCCTACAGTGTAGCCGCAGCTGGAGCCTGGGTCCTCGGCACGTAGACTCTGGTGCACACTGATGAGGTGGTCACTGAATTCCTGATAGGGAAACTTGGTACATACAGTCTCCTTCCAGAGGTTGGGGGTCAGGCAGCTGTAGGTCTTAGAGATGGCATTAAGGGTGGCCTTGGCGAAGTTGCCCAGGATGGCAGTGCAGCCCCCCTGGCTGAGGTGTAGCAGTCATCGATACCAGCCATCATGAGCAGCTTCTTGGGCAGAGGCACGGAGATGATGCCAGTGTCTCTGGGTATGGGGATGAGGTGCATCAGCACAGATCTGCAAGGGACGGTGTGGGGCTTGCAGATCTCGTTCCCCCCGTAGCCTCTGCACACGCGAACAATGGAGAGCTTGGCCAGGATGATGGCCCGCGGATGGCAGTGACCACCTCCTTGAAGCACTTAACACCCAGACAGACATGGCCATTGTGTAGTCCCCAGTGGCAACAGACGCCTTGAACCTGGTGCGCTGGCCGACTCGGGTCTGCTTCTGCACAAGCAAAATCTTCAAAACCTCGTCCTTGAGAGAGGCTCCCAGAACAAAGTGATCAGATTCCTTGATGAGCAGGGAGAAGAGAGAAATCTCTGGCAGCAACTTGATCTTCATGTCCTTGACCAGGCGGCCCAGCCTGGTGACGGGTGTTCACTCATCCTCGGCCTTGCCTCCGTGAGCTCTGTTACCCTGGCCCAGATGCCACTGCCGAACGCTCCATGGAAGCCACTGCGGTTCCCCATTCCAGGGCCCCCAGCCCACATCCCCTCCCCGCACCTCCTGCCCCCGCACTCGCGTCATCTGCCATCAGGTGTTTTCTTGGAGAAGCAGCAGAATTTCTTTTCTTTTCCAGCAATCTCACCATATCAGTTTCATTATTCTTCTAGAATCACAAAATGTATTTTAATGCCTACTGAAGTGATTTTTAAAAATTATTTTGTTATATAAATTAGGAAAATCTGACTACTTAAAAACAGATTTGAGCAAAAGTAATGAAAACATACCTTTTGGATAGTCCTCGGTGTCATGTAAATTTTTAAGTATTCGATGACTATAGATGTTTTTAATTTGAAGTTCACGATCCTTTTCCTAAAGAGAACCACAATACCAATTTTTTGTTTGCTTTTGTCAACTTAGATTTCTTTTAAAAGCAATTTAAATGAGCTCAGTATCCTTTGAATAATATATATAGATTCTAGAAGAAACAGAAATAGGCCATATCATCATATACCATTCCTGACATCAAAAAGTACTAGCTTTTTTTTTTTTTTTTTTGAGGCGGGTTTCACTCTTGTTACCCAGGCTGGAGTGCAATGGCGCGATCTCGGCTCACCGCAGCTACTTGGGAGGCTGAGGTAGGAGAATTGCTTGAACCCAGGGGCAGAGGTTGCGGTGAGCTGAGATCACACCACTTTACTCCCCTGGCTGTAAGAGCAAAAGTCTGTCTTGAAGAAAAGAAAAAAAAATTAAAATTTAGGTTGTCAGCCACACTATTTATATTTCCAGTAAGCGGTCACCAGCTGCATGTGACTAGTGACTGCAGTGCTGGACAGCACAGGTGAACATTTCTGCCATCTAATAGAAAGTTTTATGAGACAGGGCTACATCCAGACAAGGGCAGCGGGGGGAAGGCCTAGAACAAGGGTATCATTGTTCAATTTTAAATTTCAATATTGACTTTCTTGAGTCTTGGCAAAATGGACGTTTTGAAACTTTAACTTAAGGAACAAAAAATGGTTTTTATTAAATACCAAATGCTCCTTCTTGAATGTATACCAGGAGGAAAGAAAGGCTTTGGACTCGAGGCCACTGAATTGTAGTAACAACTACAGTTAAGAGAGGTGGGTATATATGAAGTAAGGAGGAAGGAACCCAGGGATGTCAGAGTGTGACAGACGTGCATGTGTACACACACACACGGAGACAGAGCGAGCGAGAGAGAGACAGAGAGAAAGTGAGTTCTGGTCTCCTTGTGCTTCTTAGGGTCAAATCTATGGGCCAAGGGATATTCAGAGGGTGAGAAACATCTCTGAGGTTTGGGAAAGTCTCAGAGCCAAAGGCCTTGGTGTGGTTCAAGAAAATTGCAAGCCCCTTAAAAGGCACCTCCTCCAACCCAACCGCTTCCACTCATCATGGAGCTAAAGTAACATGGTACTGCCCAAGCGGTAGGTTAGAAAGGGTTAAATACCCTGTGGAGGTCAGAGATGGATTGTGCTTCCCTTACCCTTGCAACCAGTGGGGCCTGTGGTGGGAGCTGCACCTGCTCTGGAGTCCTTACGGGTCCACGTGCTCCCACAGGACAGACTTTGTGACAGAGAATCTAGCCAGGGATCTCAGAGCATTTGCATCAACAGCAAGAGAAGACCACCGGGAGTTGTCCGACCAGACTGAGAAGAGGCCGTGAGTTTCAGCAGCCACATTCAGTGCACATCAGACAGGGTCCTGGGAATTTAAGGCCAGTCACTTGTCAAGAGAACCAGTCTAGAGAGGGGTCAGAGGGCAGAACACAGACCAGAGGCCTCTTTTTCCCTACGCCAAGAATACACACGTGTTTTCTCTCTTGCCCAGGATGCCATCTCCCACTGAGACAGAAAATAGGGATGAGGAAAAAGTCTGCAAGTATAAGAGACAACTTAGCATAGTCATGTTTTCAGTTAGAGACTGAGACGAGCTTTTATCCATTTCTCCTTGTCCACTGCCGTCCTCATTCCTAATTTGTGTGAATGGGGCTAATGAGGAAGCATGGCTCAGTTATAGAAGATAAATAACAACATATTTTTGTACCTGAATTGTACAGTGTAGGTTTTCTACTCATTTGAACCATAGTTAGTTTTTTATCAGAGGAACACAAATGGATAAAACATGAGAATATTAATCTTCTCTAGAATTTAAGTTTCTAGAGGCAAAAATGTTAATGGTTCATCTCTCTCTTCTTTTATTGTGGTAACACTTATTCAAAAGAACCATAAATGCTGGCAGTTTACCACCATGAAGAGTTGATCAAGCATATTCTGGATAATAAGTTTAAGATGAAGGATATTGTGTCAAACATTTTAGGATGATTTTTCATCCACACTGGTTAAGAAACATTTTCATATTTACAGGGACAGATTTTGACTGCCTGAAAACGGAATTCTTTTGATTTGGTTTGAACAGCTGGGGGTCGGAAACAGAGAGCAGGAAGGAGGCAAAGCCAGAACAGAACAAGAGGCCGCCACAGGGGCGGTAGGGGTCAAAAGGAAGCAGCGTGGAGGACTGTCCTCCTCGAGGCTTGGAGCAGAGCTTCAGGTTGGGCCCCACGACAGAGCTGGGCCAGAAGTCTAACACAGCAGGTCTGGAACACGACCCGGGATACCTGTGTGGTTGAGTTCAATCAGTCAAGGGAAACGAGAAGATCATCTGTGGCTGGGAATGTTCATGGAATGCTCAGACTACTCGAGAGTGCAAAGGGTATCAAGTCAGAGTTAAAAGGGAAGTTGGCTCACGGTGTGGAATCATATTAAGGTCAGCATTGATGGCGTCCAAAAATGAGATAGAACGTAATGTCTTACGCAGGAGCGCGACTGTAGCCTGGGTAGAAGATGGGATGCAGTACCGCAGGTGGGAGCTGTGGAAGGCCGACATCCCTCTTCCTACTTCCACTCATACTCCAGAAGTGGGTCTAGACCTCGGGATGACTTGAAAATGAGTTTCAAGGTACAGAAACAGAACTTTCGACTCTTGGGACCAGATTCTCCCAAGCTCAAATGATGACTTAATGTGGCTGGCTGTATTTTTCCAAAATTGCCACAAGATTTCGGTCCCATATGCTCTTCAAGAACCTTGTGACACCCCCCCATCCCCCAAGAGGTGGTGTTAACTGCTTGAACCGCCTAGCGCAGCCCTGACAAATGCAGCGAGGCAGAAGTGACGCTGTGTGACTGTCAAGGCTTGGTCACAAAAGGCAATATTGCATCTGCCTGGTTCTCTCCTTTCTCTCTCTGTTACCAACTGCAGACATATGAGTGAGACTTCAGATCATTCTAGCCTCCAGCCTTTGAACCACTCTAGCTGATACCAAGATGAGAAGAGATGAGCTATCCCTATTCAAGCCCTGCCCAAATTGGAGATTTGTGAACAAAATTAATGTTGCTGGCCGGGCATGGTGGCTCATGTCTGTAATCCCACTGCTTTGGAAGGCCAAGGTGGGCAGATCACTTGAGCCCAGGGATTTGAGACCAGACTGGCCAACAAGGCGAAACACTGTCTCTACTAAAAATACAAAAATTAGCTGGGCGTGGTGGTGCACACCTCAATCCCAGCTACTGGGGAGGCTGAGGCACGAGAATCACTTGAACCCGGGAAGGCGGAGGTTGCAGTGAGCTGTGATCATGCCACCGATCAGAGACAGAGGGAGACTCTGTCTCAAAAATAAATAAATAAATAAAAGACTAAAGGCAAAAAATAGAAACAAGAGAAATATTAATATTGCCATTCTGAAGTCAGTTGAATGGTGCTGCATGCAGCACAGTAACTGAGCGGTCAGCATTTGAAAACATCCTGGAAGCTTCTATTCCTTCTCCCCTTGGATGAGTGCTAGGAGTGACCCTGGAGGTGAGGTGTAAGGGGCCATCTCCTTTTTCCAGATGAAACAGGCCTGGTGGGAGGTGGTAGTGGGAGGGTATCCTGGGTGCAGGGAGGAACTACAGGAGATAGGCCATGGGTGAATGACTGAGTTACAGGAAGCCAGACTACAGAGTCGGTGGCTCCGCTTCTGCTTTCTTTCGTGCTGCTTGATTTCTTTACAGCTCTGGCTGCCCGAGCCTCTGTGGGAAGGAAGAGCTGGCGGAGCTGTTCCATGTGCCTGCCGTTTTGTGTGGAAATGCGTGTCTTTGGTAGGTTTCTTCGCTGAATGGGAAGGCAGGCTGGCTCCGTGTCAGTGGCACTTGCTGACTGGAAGGCTTCACTTTGAGGTGGTCTTTTGATTGAATACTTCCCAAATTCCAGAATTTATTCTTTAAAAGGTTTTTCCCTGGGATACCAGCCCCAGTAGCCCGTTTCTTCTCAAGCAACATATTCACTTTCCAGGGGAGGAAACAAGACTTTCTCCCCTGGTGGCAAACTCGGGGCTCCCTGATGCTGTGCAGGCTGCTGAGGAGGAGGTGGGGGACAGCTGAGACTGCTGTTAATCCGTCCTCTCACTCCTGGTCCCCATGCCTGCCTAGGACCAGACAAACGCCTCTCCAAGCATCTCCTGCTGTGGCTCCAGCTCCAAGTCATTCCCTTAAATGCTTCCACCCATTTTCTGCAGTCAGTACATGTGCCCACATCGCCACTGTTTGCTGAAGACCAGTTTTCTTTGCCATTGCATGCCTGTCTTCTTTTGTAGTCCTCCACTGATATTTCCATGAGGGTTTTTGGAAGGAACGACGTTGAACACAGTCTATAATCACCAACAATTGAAGGCCAGAGGGAACAGTGTCTTTCTCAGCCTGGCAGAACCCATTTACCTGCTTGTGAGTGTGGCTTAGGTACCTACCCTTTGTGACTGCAGTAAATCTCCTGATGCTCGAGTGCCATGCCAGAAATTCTCATTTCATTACGATGTGTGTGGCCTGGGCAATGGCTTTTTAAAAGCCCCCACCCCAGGTGATTAATGTACTGCCACGTTTCAGGCCCACCCAAGGCTCTTTTTTTTTTTTTTTTTTTAAAGAGACAGGGTCTTGCTGGTCACCCAGGGTGGAGTGCTGCAGTGGCTCGATCCTGCTTATTGTAAACTTGAGCTCCTGGGTGCAAGCAATCCTCGTGCCTCAGCCTCCCAAAGTGCTGGCATTACAAATGTGAGCTGCTCTACCTGACCTCCTTTTGTTCACCTCTGTTGATTCTGAGGTTTCTCTCCACAAATAAAATTCTAGGGTTTCGCCCCAGAATTTTATTTGTGGATATTTTAGTTGGTGATTGTCTATGTTTGATTGCAATCTAAAAAAAAAAAGAAAAACTGCTTTTTATCTTCTAGAAATTCTTTGTTAGATCTGGTACAGTTTTGGTATCCTGAGATTATGAATTATTTTATTTATTTTTAGAGACAGAGTCTCACTCTGTTGCCCCGGGTGGAGTGCAGTGGCACTGTCATAGCTTACTAAGGATTCCAACTCCTGGGCTCAAGAGATCCTCCTGCCTCAGCCTCCTTAGGAGCTGGGATTACAGGCATGTGCCACCATGCCCAGGTAGTTTTTAAATTTCTTGCAGAGACAGGCTTTGTTCTGTTGCCTTGGCTGGTCTTGACCTCTTGAGCTCAAAAGATCCTTCTGCCTCAACTTCCCAAAAAATTGGGATTACAGGTGTAAGCCACCATGCATAGTTTGGAGGGTTATTTTAAAAATACATTTTTCTAGCCAGGCATGATGGCTCATGCCCGTAATCCCAGCACTTTGGGAGGCTGAGGCGGGTGGATCACCTGAGGTCAGGAGTTCAAGACCAGCCTGACCATGATGGAGAAATCCCATCTCTACTAAAAATTCAAAAAATTAGCCGGGCATGATGGCACATGCCTGTAATTCTAGCTACTTGGGAGGCTGAGGCAGGAGAATCACTTGAACCTGGGAGGCAGAGGTTGCAGTGAGCTGAGATCATGACATTGCACTCCAGCCTAGGCAACAAGAGTGAAACTCCGTCTCAAAAAAAAAAAAAAAATACATTTTCTGTCATTTCCATGGAGCTTTGGCAGGGAGGGAGAAAAGCATGTGTTCAGGCCACCTTTTTGATTTAGACTTTTCTAATGCATAAAATATGTAATTGCAGAAAAATTTTAAAATTGCATTTAAAAATGCATAAAATATGTAATTTCAAAAACATTTTTCCCTTTGAAACTTTATTATACAAATTAAAATATAAAAATAAAAGTAGAACAGTACAATAAACCTCCATGAGCCGGCTTCACTAGTGAGCAACTCATGACCTGTTTCCCACTCTCTCTGACCGCATTCCCCAGCCCTGGCTTATCCGAAGCAAATCTAGATCTCTAATAACTTATCTTAGTATCCACAGGAAACAACGGCATCCCTTTTAAAACCTAACTGCAGTATTTTGATTCCACATTCCGGCCATCACACCTGGCCAGAAAAATGTATTTTTAAAATAACAGTCCAATCAATAGTATTTCCTTCACATCATCAAATATCCAGTTTAACGTTTCCCCATTGTCCTATAATTTTTAAAAGGTTTGAATTAGAATGTAAACAAGATTGAAGACACTGTGACTGATTAATATATCTTACTGTCTTTTATTTATAGAGTCTCACTCTTGCCTCTTAGTTTTTCTGCTTTGCTACTTAATCGTGGCAATGGGGGGGTCTGTAATGCAGTTTCCACAGTCTCTCGCTGCTGACTCATCCCCCCCTGAGCATGTGCCTCTCCCCTCTGCTTTTCAATTGGTAGGGAGAGCCCAGTGTGTAACTAGGATTAGGTTCGGTTCTTTGGCATGAGTAGATGGTGGTATATACCTCTGTCAGGAAGTGCATATCTCTCTTGTGATCCTAGGAGCCACTGATGATCATTGATTAGAGCCACTAATCCATTAGGAGTTTCCACAGTAGTGATATTTTAACCCTGTCATTCCTTCTTCACTATTGAATGGAATAATTTTATAAGGAGGATCTTACCCCCTCACAAACGATTTGGTGACTCTGAGGAGTCGTTCGAACAGCAAAGGTAAAATGATTCTTCTTGTCCTCTACTGGCCAGTTTTCAAGCCAGCGTGCTGTTCCATAGTATCCTCCACAAGGACTCATCACTGAGGCGTTTTGTTTTTTAAGTATCATTATGAACTTTGGATTCCTTTGATAAGTTTTAACCTGTGCAGTTATGTTTATTGATTCTCAAATATCCCCATCTTTGGCCAGTAAGAACCTATTCTAGATGGGCCTGAGTCCTTTTGTTATTACCCTCATGGTCCTTCATAGTTTCTTTGCTTTTGTATGACAGTACGTTCCAGGCTCATCTAGTATATTTCATGCACCAGACCTGGAATTTTTTTAGGGAGACTTGTTTGGTTTTAGTGAAATATGGAACTTAAAGACCATAATCTGGGTGCTGGGGGTATTCACTGCTACTGGTTAATCTGAGAATATTTCACAGTTTCACTTCAGATCAAAATCAGGACTATAGGATTTTTATTTGACTCTATCTTACTTCTGTATTTTCTTTTGCACCTCCCCTAAATCCCAGTTCTCAATGACACCACCATAATCAGGAGCTTTATCCCAAAAGATATACACAGCGTTCTCAAAATAACAGTATCAACATAATTGCCAACAATATCATTACTCAACAGTGTAAGATTTTTTGTGGTTATTTGTGTCCTTACAGAGTATCTCTAACCATATGCAAATGACATGTGTTTTAAGTCACTTGGAATGGCTTCCTTCTGTGGCTTTGTGCCACCAATAGGATACAGTTGGCTTTCCCTGTCCACAGGTTCCGCATTCTGCGGTTACAAAGAGCTAACTGTATATGTGTTTGGGTTCATTTGCATTTTACTTTGGATATTTAGGGATAGCTGTCTAATCTTTTTTTTTTTTTTGAGACGGAGTCTTGCTCTGTTGCCCAGGCTGGAGTGCAATGGTGCGATCTTGGCTCACTGCAACCTCCACCTCCTGGGTTCAAGTGATTCTCCTGGCCCAGCCTCCTGAGTAGCTGGGATTACAGGCACCTGCCATCACAGCTGGCTAATTTTTTAACTTTTGTGGAGACGGGGTTTCCCATGTTGGCCAGGCTGGTCTTGAACTCCTGACCTCAGGTGATCTGCCTCCCAAAGCTCTGGGATTACAGGCATGAGCCCCATGCCTGGCTGCTTTTTAATTTTTAAAAAAAAATTATTTCTGCTTCATACTTATAGAAATATTTACCTGGTTCCAAAGAGACATTCATGAAGTCCAGGTTCTAGAGCTATCCCTTCCACCCCATTCGCTCTCTCTTTTTCTGCTGTTATCCTAATATTGGTATTTTTTTTAAATGTAGGCAAATACGTGGGTATATTTCTGTTGCTTCCTTTATCTTTTTTTTTTTTCTTTTTTTGAGACGGAGTTTCGCTCTTGTTATCCAGGCTAGAGTGCAATGGCGCGATCTCGGCTCACTGCAACCTCCGCCTCCTGGGTTCAAGCAATTCTCCTGCCTCAGCCTCCTGAGTAGCTGGGATTACAGGCGCGCGCCACCATGCCCAGCTAATATTTGTATTTTTAGTACATAGTTTCACCATGTTGACCAGGATGGTCTCGATCTCTTGACCTTGTGATCCACCCCCTCAGCCTCCCAAAGTGCTGGGATTACAGGCATGATTCCTTTATCTTAAATAGGATTGTATTAGTCCGTTTTCAGCCTGCTGATAAAGACATAACTGAGACTGGGTAATTTAGAAAGGACAGAGATTTGATGGACTCACAGTTTCACACGGCTGGGAAGCTTCACAATCATGGCAGAAGGGGAAGGAGGAGCAAAGGGTCTTCTTACATGGTGGTGGGCAACAGAGAACTTGTACAGGGGAACCGCCCTTCGTAAAACCATAAGATCTCAAGATCATGAGATTATTCACTATCATGAGAATAGCATGCAAAAGACCCATCTGTATGATCCAATTAACTCCCACCAGGTCCCTCCCACAACATGTGGAAACTTGTGGGAGCCACAATTCAAGATGAGACATGGGTGGGACACAGCCACACCGTGTCAAGGATGTTACACAGTTTTGTCTGCCTTCCTTTCCTCACTTACCAGTGTATCCTAGAGATCATTCCACAGTTGTACATCAAGATTCCTCATTCCTGTTTACAGATACATAGATATCCATTGTGTGGAGGCATATTTAATTTAAAAAAAATTTGGATCTTATTGTATATAGAATTTTGTATCTTTTCATTAAGCATTTCCCTGTTAAAAATGGTTATATTTATTTTTAATTTTCTTGAGATGGAGTCTCATGAACAGAGGATCTGCAGTTATTAGAATGAGTTAACAGCTTGGTGAATGTGTACTGTGATTAGAAAAATATAAATTATATTCATTAACAAGACTTCTTGTTACCATTCGTACTTCATCATGTTAAGTAATATTGCATTTGTTAACATTTTAATATAACTCAAAATTAATGTTTAAAAACTAACTTATCACATAATATTTAAGGTAAATTTTAATGGCCCATAAATTTATCTTAGTTTTACTTGCAAATATGTTTGAAAAACTGTCTTTTAAAAGTACGTATACTGCTTAAAAATAAGAATTAAAAAAAATTTGGTCAGATTCTTTGCTATCTTTCTGCATTCAAGATTGGTAAAATGTCCCCCCCCACCCCGCAAAAAAAAAAGCTATTCATGAAGTTACATAGTTTAGGCCGGGTATGGTAGCTCATACCTATAATCCCAGAACTTTGGGAGGCCAAGGCAGGTGGATCACTTGAGCCCAGGAGTTCAAGAACAGCCTGGCCAACATGTCGAAAGCACATCTCTACTAAAAAGTAACAAAAATTAGCTGAGCATGGTGACGCAAGCCTGTAGTCCCAGCTACTCAGGACGCTGAGATACGAGAATCACTTGAACCTGGGAGGTGGAGGTTGTGGTGAGCCAAGATTGTGCCACTGCACTCCAGCCTGGGTGACAGAGAAAGACTCTGTCTCAGAAAAAATAAAATAAATAAATAAATAAATAAATAAACAAACAGAGCTGTGGATGGGGGCCCAGACCCCCTGCAAAGGGGGGAGGAGTCTTTTTACATATACATGTAAAATTTAAAAAATCACTTAAAGATTTAATAGGCATATAGCTCATATATTTCAGGAATGTGAATTTCATTCTTACATTTTGTTTTAGAAGAAATACCTTAAGTTTTTGCTGAAGGTGTTTTACTTCCACCTGCAGAGCCTTGGTAGCTGTTTGAGCCGCCAAAGTCTTCCGATTCTCGATAGCTAGCTGCCGACTAAAGGCTCTGCTGTTCAGCCTCAGTTGTTTCTCCAAGCTCTGAAAACAGTATATATTTTAACTATTCTGCAACCAAGTTAGTATTGCCGAAAACTTCAACTATAATGAAACTAACTACATTTATGAAAAGTGCACATTTTCAATACAATTTTAGTGGAAGACTTATATAGGGAACATATATTAGAATGAAGTGTAACTGAAAGAAAGCCCCCAATCCCAGATCCCAGCTCTGGAGAACAAATATCGTATGTTTTGAGCCTGTTTTTTACATGCTCTAAAATTTGATTTAAAACGTCTTTAGTTTCTGAGTTGGAGTCTCACTCTGTTGCCCAGGATGGAATGCAGTGGTGTGAGCTCGGCTCACTGCAACCTCCACCTTCTGGATTCCAGTGATTCTCCCACCTCGGCCCACAGAGTAGCTGGGATTACTGGTGCATACCACCATGCCTGCCTAATTTTTGTATTTTTAGTAGAGACAAGGTTTTGCCGTGTTTGGCCAGGCTGGTCTTGAACTCTGGCCTCAAATGATCTGCCTGCCTTGGCCTCCCAAAGTGCTGGGATGACAGGCATGACCCACTATGCCTGGCTTCACTTAAAGATTGTGACCAGACCCTAAAATCAGTAGACACTGTTAATGGTCATTTCCAGATGACAGAGACTGAACATGGACTCAAACCACCACATCCATCCATACTGATGGACTATAAGACAATGAAATGACTGATTAACTCAATAATCACACATATTCATCTGCTCTCTGGAATGAGGAATATTTTATTGGAGGACTGTTTGATCTGGACTTGACAAATGGCTTACCAAAAGGACTATTTGTCTTTGTTTTAACATAAAAGTAGGACCTCCTCCATTATAACATTAGTACTTTTCCCAAACAGGAAAGGTAAAAGATATGGAAAGCTAAAAGGATGAAAGAATCACTAAAAATACTACTCCCTAAAACATTAACTTTAAAAAAATAACATGTTTTGGTCCACATGTTTTCCTCCACTAAATGCCTACAACCAAACAGAGATTTCTCATACTTGGTAAGTGCTTCCTATATTAAAAAAATAGTTATGCAATTTATTTTGGTTTTATATATAGATATGAAAATATGTACGACTTAGATACATATATAAAAATATATATCCTTTCACATGACAGACATATGCTAAGATAAATACAGTATTACCTTAAAGGCCAAATAATATCACTTTGGTATACAAGAGTGAAAAATGAGGTTGCTCATTATTTTCTGTAGATCACATATCAATTTCATGTGAGAAAAATTTCTTGGAAAATACAGAATTTTAACAACAGAAGAAATAACTGAGATAAAAATGTAGAGGAAATGAACCCGATATTTATTTACGTCAAGATCATAGAAAATACTAGTGTTTCAACATCAAATATTAAAGATTTAAATCCTAAATTAATTCCATTTATGTTTATGTCTATAGACTCAAACTATCTAACAGGCAGAAGAATTCTTAATATGATATCAATGCCTTTCCCAAGTCATCCCTTATAATGTATTCCCCAGGATTTTGACAACCACGTGCTATTGAGGAAATCCATCCCGTCATCTCTTTAATTATTTTAATTCCTTTTCCTTCCCTAATACCAGGAACATTATCTGGGAAAAACTGCTATTTTAAAAATAACTACAAATGTCTGCGTGGTAATGCCTGGCCAAACTGGTGAAGGACAATCCAAAAGTCACTGAACGGATTCACTGAGTAGCTTTTTAGGGAAATAGCCTTTTAACAAACAGTTTAAGGGCTGATTTGAAAGAGAGGTTTCATGTAACACAATGCAATCTTTTCAGCACAGGAAAAAGTCCCTTAACAGTGTAGCTGTGTTATCTTAGAGATGGTCATTTCCAGATAAACTAGCCTAGCCACAGAATGAACTCTTGTGCACTACACAGGATGAACATTTCTAGTTTGAGCTGCTTCTGTTTTTCCTTCAAACCACTCCCTTCCCCTGCCCTCTATTAGACAATGAAATTATTTAGTGTAGCATGCCAAGCAAAGCATTTAGTAATGGTTTGTTAGAGAGGGGGCACATCTATTATTAATGCACACCCTCTCTCTATAAATTCCGGAATCTTAAAATGTCCGGGCCCCTGAAATACAGACCTGTATTTTTTTGTCATTTGCCTCCATTTTTGTTGTAATAATAGATAATTTGTGAGTAAGTTCGTCCCTTTCTGCAAGGTTTTTGTCTTCGGAAAGTTTCTGCAGTGCCTGCAAGGCATCTTTGGTCTTCAGTAACTGGCTGTCAGTTTCTCTAAGTTTCCTAGATACGGTTTTTTCCTTTTCCTGGGATTTCCTAAGGAGTTGCCTTAAGTGTTTTACTTCGTTCTGATGGTTAGCCATAATTTGCGGTAGATTATTTTGTGAATTCTTATATTTTTCTATAGCTTTCAAATCCCTAAGCTGAAGTTGTTTCAAAAATTGGTTTTCTGTAAGGATGGCTTCCAATTTATGATTCATATCAGCTAATTCATTTTTTAGTCCTTTAATTTTATGAAGCCTTGCTGAGAGTATTCGATGAGCCATAGCATCTCTTCTTTGGGCAATCATATTGATTTGAGATTTAAAAAGCGATGCATTCCAGGTGTGCTTTTTTTCAACTGAGAGTTCCTTCTGGCCTGTGTAAGCAGATAATCCAGTTTACTACTAGTAATATATACAGATATGCCAATATGCACAAATGCATAATCTCCCTCCTCCCCCCATGCACACACACCACACACATACACAGAAGCGTTAAGTGTAACCAGAAGGGGAAAAAACCTAACACTTAATAAATGCCTATGCTTTAGGCCAGGTACTTTATATATAAATATCTCATTTAATACAATTATTTAAGGTCCATTGTAATATATTTTATAGCTGAATAAAATCTCCAGCTATAAAATATATTACAACGGACCTTAAATAATTGTATTAAATGAGATATATGTATAGCCGCAAAGTGACACAGAATGGATTGAAAACCAGGTCTTCTTTGACTTTCAAATCTGTGCTTAGATTTCTATTATAAGAGCTGGACTAAAAACTGTAATAGGCCTGGTGCAGTGGCTCATGTCTGTAATCTCTGCACTTTGGGAGGCTGTGGTGGGAGGACTGCTTGAGGCCAGGAGTTTGAGAACAGCGTGATCAACAGAGTAAGATCTTGTCTCTAAAAAAAATTACTTTTTAATTTTAACTTTTGTTTATTTATTTTTTTTGAGATGGAGTCTCGCTCTGTCGTCCAGGCTGGAGTGCAGTGGTGCAGTCTCAGCTCACTACCACCTCTGCCTCCCAGGTTCAAGTGATTCTTTTGCCTCAGCCTCCCAAGTAGCTGGGATTACAGGCACCTGCCACCACAACCAGTTAATTTTTGTATTTTTAGTAGAGATGAAGTTTCACCATGTTGGCCAGGCTGGTCTCCAACTCCTGATCTCAAGTGATTCACCCTCCTTGGACTCCCAAAGTGCTGGGATGACAGGCATGAGCCGCCGTGCCCGGCCTCTAAAAAAAATTTAAGAAGTAGCCTAGTGTGGTGGCACATGCCAATAGCCCTAGCTCCTCAGGATGCTTGGTGGGAGGGTCACTTGAGCCCAGGAGTTTGAGGCTGCAGAGAGCTGGTACAATCCAGCCTGGGTGAAAAAGTGAGACCCTGTCTCAAAGACAGACAATCCCCATGATAATAGCTGAAATTTACTAAGTGCTTGTTCTATGTCAGGCATTGAACTAAACGCTTTCTGTAGATTATTGGATATAATCCCTTCAACAATATGTTATGGGTAATTACAGTGTAACATGAGATCCCAATGTAAAGATCTCATATACTCAAAATGATCTCCAAAAAGTCATCAAATTGTATAGTCTATTTATCTACAGATACTGATTTTCCATGTCTCAATAAATCCAACATAGTTTTTCCTGTTACTTTGGCTGGGCACCAAATGAAGTAACTGGCATGTGTTCAGGGGTCTATTTTAAACAAAAAGTCTTTAAAAACATCACATTTAGCACCAACCTTACATAATTGAATTTGAGTATGTTAAATACATGTGTAAATGACTGTACTATTACCCCATTGTAATTTTTTTTTTTTTTTAGAGATGGGGTTTCACTATGTTGGCCAGGCTGGTCTTGACCTCCTGACCTCAGGAGATCCACCCACCTCGGCCTCCCAAAGTGCTGGGATTACAGGCATGAGCCACCGCGCCCGGCCTATTATCCCATTTTAAAGATAAACATGCTGAAGCTTGGGGATGTCCCTTGTCAGTGGGCACACAGGAAGTGGAGAGACAGAGCCCACTGTCTGTGTGCCTATGCTAGTGCCACACAGGTGTGTGCATTCGTACGATATAGGGGTATACGTATGTGTGCACCTGTGTATGAAAATATACATGTGGTGTGCAAATATACATATTCATATATCTAGATTCTGAGAAGGAGAAATCGAAACTGGATTCTAAACTCTAAAAATGTCTGATCCTCATTCTGGAGAAAGGACATTTAGTGGCCCAATATCATCAGAGTCCTAACCTTAAAATACTGGTCCAAGTGTGGACACATCTGAGATGTGGCTTAATATGTTTGCTCCAGGTGGTGAAAAAGGCAATTCTACCTGTGATAGAAACAATGAACCAAGAGAGCCAAAGTGTGCCTTCTGGAGATGAAAGGATTTGAATCATGACTGTGAAAGAATACATAGATTATACAACACAGTATCAGTATCACATCAGTAACTGGTGGCCCGTCTTTCCAATTATGTCTTCAAGTGTACGTTTTTCCCCACAGTTTAGTCGGGGCTATGGTTGAATATTGAGTATTTTAGAATAGGCTTCCGAGCACACTAAGAAGTGGGAAGCGGAGCAGGCCAGCCTCTAGGACACCTTCTAGAAGGTCTGCGAAGATGTGTCTGTGGGTTGTTGAGGCTGTACGCTTGAATACTCTGGGCACTGGCTAGGGAAACTTGAGACCCAGGCAATACGGATCAGGCTGGTTTAAAATAGGGGTGGGCGAGGACTGACATGTTCTACACCATGGCCAGCATGACTGAACCTGACTCCCAACTTGTAATGTCTTCCAGATCTTAGGTGCTCTGACCCTGTAGGAGAGAGGGCTTTCACTAAGACAGAAGGACTGGTGATGGGTTCCACGGGCACTGGAGACTTATATGCCCCTCTCATGCCATGCTCAAGTGATGGGAAGGCAGAGGCATGAGAGGGTGCTGAGGGACTAAGCGCCATGGCCACAGGAGCTCTGGCCAAGGCTCTGGGAGTCAAGAAGTGTAGAGGGCATAAATGCTTTGAAAAGGGGAGGGGTTGGCCTTTTACAGATCACATGGGCTTGGACAAGGAGCATGTAAATGGTAAAAATGAAGGACAGAGGCTCCTCCCCAATACTCTTCTTTGTATAAGGCTGTTTCCACATCCCTGCCCCCTCATATTCCCTCCATTCCCCAAATGCATCTGAGATTGAACTTCCTGTCTACCCTAGTGAGTGGGTAGGGAGGATGAGCCAGGTTACATACCCCTCACTTGCATTTGAGGGGTAACAAATTCATACTATATCCATCATGCATACTTGTATAACTATAAAGGCTATGAAAAACTGGGAGAGGGCGTAATCCTTCATGATTTTATATCTCATTATCCTAACCCATACATAATAAGAATTGTGTAATTTCTAATTTCAATCCCATTTCACAAATAATAGGGGCGGATTTAGCTGAATGACTATCCTTAAGATAACTAAGTTTTAAACGGCTGAATTAAAACATTCACGTAAGTTAACTTAATTCACCACGAAGATAAATTTAAGTTCACAGTTGCCGAAACAGCATCTGCACATTACGTAAAATGACGTACGTTCTTCTGGACAGCTCTAAGAATGTCCCCACGCTGACTTCACCCACAAACAGACCTGTCTTCCTTCCTAGCCTGTCTCCCCAGGCCCACCTCCCCTTCACAGCCTTACTTTAGCCGTTCTCTTGTTCTCCTCTGTCCATGCTGTTTCCTCCTCCTCCTTTCCCTCCTGGCCTCATCCTACTTCCCTCTCCTGTCATTGTCCCCTTTGGTCTCATCGTCTCATTCTATCTCCGTGCTCCTCCACATCTTCACTCCAGCTCTGCTTCTGACATACGGGGTGAGGGGTCTACACTCTATTTCACCCTAAAAGAGATGAAGCCATTTTCTCCAAGAACCAGGGTGAATAAGAGGTTCAAAGGAGGAGCGTCTCCTTTTCCTGTTCTCGGCAGTTTCCATTGTCAGCCTGCTAGAGAAGGTGTCTCTTCACTACCACCTTAGGTTGTCCACCTACAGCTGGACCAAGGACACACGACAAGGTGTTCCAAGCATTTGAATATGGTAAACTAACTTCTTTTTATTTGAATACTAATGTCTTGAATGACCATGACACGTTTTTGGCATTGTATTGACAAAGAAAATACGTAAAGGAAGCAGTTTCCTAACAGGATACATAATTGAAAGAATTCTGAACGGACATTTTCTACAAAAGAAGGCTGATTCTTGAAAAGCAAGTTGTAAAACTATATTACTTGCTATTTACAGTGATGTAAGTAAATCCCCAGTGTTTGACCAAAGCAAAGATTCTATTACACTGAGTCCTCGTTTCACATCACTGATTCTCTCTATGAAATGTCTTTCTGCCATAAAATTTGCTTTCATCAGTTTTCTAAGATGAGAATTGAAAATATCTCTGATGTTACTGTTCTTTGGTGAATTCTGCATCTCCGCTGGTGGCTCCTCATCCAGCGTTACCCGCGTAGGGTAAGAGAGCTGCTTTTCATTGGACATTTGCTTGAGAAGGGGCTGCACTGGCTAAAACATGACGCCTCCTTGCTTTGGGTTAGAATTATATTATACCAGGGGGCAAGAAATTACTTGCTGCTTAAATTACTTTGGCAAACACTGGCAAAACATGAACTGGGAACAAAAGAATAAAGGAAAAAGACAAGGAAATATTTCATTGTTCTGTGACAAAGCTTCAAGTCGTAGTTAGCATTTTACATTTACCACATGCTGGGCCAGGGTTTCCTGGGACATAAAAATCTGAGTTAAAGATACATGCAAGATTTATTCAAAATAATTTCAGAATATTAATATACAAAAGCACATCCAAGAAAGAGCAAAGCTTTTACTCTTCTGGATAATGAAATTTAGGATTCTGGTCTCCTGTGAAGTAACTGAATTAATTTAGGTTGCTCTCAAGTTATAAACAGGCGCCTTGCATAAATAACTCAATAAGCATTTGTTGAATAAATAAATAAGGAATCAGCTTTGAAAAGCTAAATTATAAGGTACTTAGAACTTAAAATGCATTTCTTTCTCATAGAAAGTTTTATAAATACAGACTGCCTTCCTGCATGATCCCATAGAAGCTTGGGATCAGTATAATAGGTAGTAGATAGATTCAAGATCTCTTATTGTAAACCCCTGGAACTGTTTCAAAATTTGAGGGTTTTTAATGGTAAGTACATATACGGTATTTTCCATAGTTCTCCCAGTGGGGTCTGGAACAACACCCTTTAATGAAACTATATATTTTTTATTTTTATTTATTTATTTAATTTTTTTAAAGACGGGGTTTCACCATGTTGGTCAGGCTGGTCTTGAACTCCTGACCTCAGGTGATCCACCCGCCTTGGCCTCCAAAGTGCTTGGATTACAGCCCAGCTGAATGAAACTATATTTTTGTAGTGAAATATAATGCCTATTCAAACTAAGTAAAATAAGTAAAGATCTATTTCATATTAGTTCAAATAAGGTTTTTATTGCCAAATCAATTTTGATGCAAAGGATATGAAAGATGTTGGATTTTCAGAGATCTGTAAATTTCAAATGTGGATAAGGAATTGTGTATTTGTAGGATCTAACCATGATGTTCATTTCTGATGAGACCAGCCATGAGAGAAAGAGTGGACTTCTCATCTCCTGCTCTGGGCCTTGCCAGTGGATGTAGGACTCCTATCTCTCTAGAAAAGCAACATTTAACCTTTCAAGAATCTGGTGAAAGCTACATGTCTTTCTAGAAAAGTTTACCAACACAGAGAGACACAAAAAATGCATAGAATTTCATGGACATAGAGTCTTAGATAAAGAACCCCTGGGCTAAGCAGGGGAACCCAAGATTATAGGTGTTCCAGAAGTGGCACAGAGGGTCCTGGACACAGTTGGTAACTGCAGGCTGGGATGCAAGAGGAAGGGTACACATAACAGTGGTAGATGTGCCCAGCAAACAGCAGGCTCTTAATTACTGTGTGCCTGTTGACTGAGGTGCTCTGAGGCTCAGTGTGGACAGGAGCTCCAGCTATTTCTATATAAGAAATACTTACGGGCTCAAGATTGCCTAAAATGGGAGGAAGGAATAAGAAAGGAGACCGAAGATAACACAAGCTAATTCCAATTGGGACAGCTGCGAGTTGACAGAGTTGGTACTTTAAAAATCTACAAAGAAGGCTGGGCACGGTGGCTCAAGCCTGTAATCCCAGCTACTCAGGAGGCTGAGGCAGGAGAATTGCCTGAACGCAGGAGGTGGAGGCTGAGGTGAGCTGAGATCCCGCCATTGCACTCCAGCCTGAGTAACGGGAGCGAAACTCCACCTCAAAAAAAAAAAAAATTTACAAAGAAATGACGTTATTAACAGCTTTTTGAACCATCTCTGTTTCAAAAGACTGTCTTTGCCAATATGCCTCACTGGACTTGGAGACCATCCTCTTGGGGTGGAGACAGGTATTTACATTTCACTGGTGATTCAAAGATTGATTCTTCAGCTGAGATGAAAGGCAAGAAGCCAGTGAAATCCAAGTACTGTGGCACTCTGTAACAAGGTCACCAGTTAACTAAAAATGAACTAACTTCACTAGCAGGTTCCAGTAGAGTAAGCCATGCAGGGACTAGGCTTTACCTTTGAATCCTTTCTGTTATTTTATAATGATTCTTAATTTCTCTATTTCCTAATTTCTTCTATAAAAGTTCACATTTATAATATGGGAAAACAAAATGAGTATGAACCACTTCAAATACTAGTGTAGCAAAATCACGTCATTATGACCAGAAATTTGGTCTTGCTTGAGAAACTTTGCTTCTTACCTTTAGGTTGGGAGATTTTAGAAACATTATACTTTTTCTTCTCCTTTTCTTTTACCACAGGCTGCTTGAAATAATTTCTATTAATGGCCTTTTCTGAACAATCAGAGAGAAAGTCTTTTGAATAACCGTACTGAGAACTTAAACTCCGGCAGGAGCAGTGAGATCTGCTGCAGTCAACACTCTCCTCGGAGGTGTTCCTGTTCCATGAAGAACCGCCCGTGTCAGGGCTCCTCTTGCATTCTGCAGACCTGCTACTGTTTTCTAATGCCACACTGGAGAGATGTTCATCTATGTTTGTTTTTGTTAGATCAGCCAAAGACATAGCAAACAACCTAACAAAAGAAAAGTATTTTGGAATTTATATTTATTAACATTAAAATGAACTAATGCTTTATTTTATATATATACATATTTTTGAGACAGAGTCTTACCCTGTTGCCTAGGCTGGAGTGCAGGGGTGTGATTATGGCTCTCTGCAGCCTCTCAGCCTCTGGAGTAGCTGGGACTATAAGTGTGCGCCGTCATGCCTGGCTAACTTATTATTATTATTTTTTGGTAGAAATAGAGGTCTCACTATGTTGCCCAGGCTGGTTTCAACTTTTGAGCTCAAGTGATCCTACCAACTCGGTCTCACAAAGTGGTGGGATTATATGTGTGAGCCGCCATGCTCAGCTATGGACACAAACTTTGAATACTTTGAATAAGCCCTCTTAGTTGTCTAAAGTGAGAATTTAAAAGCTAAGGAATAGAAAGTCAAATACAAGAAAGACCCAAAATTTATCTTCTTACTAACATTAGTTAAAAAGCAGAAGGTTCTGCGTTTCTTTATGGTGCTACGGCACTAAGGCATGGTAATGCCACAAGTCTCTCTTTCACAGCAGCCTACCTCAAAAGCAGATTGGAACAACAGATCCATCTTCTGAGGTCTTTAAAAGGATTATCTTTTCATTTAATTCTCAATTCTCCTGTTTTATCACGAAAGCAAAAGGGAATTTAGCTGGCATTAGGTCCTTTGCAACAGGAATCTTTATCACTCTCTCTACTGAGAGGCTTTTTCCTGTTCAGTTTCTGCTTTTTGCTGCATCTGCCTAACTCTCTAGCCTTCTCTTCTGATGGAATATGTTGGGCAGTCTACAATCTCCTCACTACAAGACATCTTAGTCCAAATGATCTAGCAGTAATTAATATTAGAACCAGACTTAATATCGAACTAGTTCTCTTGCTTTGTTCAGACTGCTTCCACATCACCTAATCTCAGCCACCTTGAGGAAACAGGTTCAGACAGGTGAACAGTTAGAGACTGTCCGTGTTTTCCAGCTCCAGGGGCAGTGCTTTTCTCATTAAGCATCGTTACTGCAACAACACATTGGTAGGAACATCACACACTCCTAATGCAAAGAATTTCTCTTTCCAGACACATTCTGCTGTGTAGCGGTGGGCAGAAGCAGATCTTCATTTGCGAACCTTTGCATCTAGATTAAGAAGAATCCAGGCCGGGCACTGTGGCTCACTTTGGGAGGCTAAGGCGGGTGGACAGCGTGAGCTCAGGAGTTCAGGACCAGCCTAGGCAACATGGTGAAACTCTGTCTTTACAGAAAAACAAAAATATTAACTGGGCATGGTGGTGCACACCTGTAGTCCCAGCTGCTTGGGAGGCTGAGCTGGGTTTGCTTGAGCCCAGGAGGCAAACATTGCAGTGAGCTCTGATTGCACCACTGCACTCCAGCCCGGGTGACAGAGCCAACTCTGTCTCAAAAAGAAGAACCTCAGATGCAGGCGTAAGGGATCCTGAAGGACTAAAAATGCTCCACTGTAGCACTCACAGTCTTGCCTGTCCTTGTCCCCAGGAGCTGTTCCTTCCTGCCCTCTTGCTCATGACCTCAGTCCCTAACTTCCTCCTCACCTATCTTGATAAATCCCGATTGCTCAAACAATGGTTGATAACCCTCAAGAAGAAGTTGCATTTTGGCCAGCTGTTTCTGACTCAAGCTGGACTTCAGCTGACTTCTCCTGCTCAAGCCCTATAAAAATTCCCGCCTTCTTCCTCACTTAAAAAAGAACACTCCTTCAACAAGTCTCCTGCAGGCAATTTTGGATGAAGGCTTAAATCGAGTGTTTTTCATGTTACATTCTTGAATTGTCCAGCTACAGAAGTCAGGGGGAGTGTGATGGAGTAGAAGGTGATGGACAATTTGGAGGGGACAGGCTTGGGTTTGAACTTGCATCTGCCTGTCACTTAAGCGCTCTTGTTCATCTGTAAAATGTGAGTGACACGACCAATCCCATAGGGTTGAGAAAGAAAAGAAGCTTATCTGAGGAATACAGATCCCCTTTAAATGATCAGGCCCAAAGAGGCACTGGAATGAGACTGCAGTCACATCCCCCATCCCCCCAGCTGAGCTAAGCAATCATTTCTAAGCTGCTTGCTCCGTGGGCTCTGACTGATGCCACAAATAGCTATAAATTAACCTAACAATGCCATATGCTGGACACCACAGCTCATACCCTGTGGTTCAAACAACAATCTAATTGCCAATCACTGTTATTTCTGTAAACCTATGAGAATTCCTGAAAAACCACGTTGCTAATTGTCCCTCTCCTGACTTGTACTTTTTTCTTTAAAAAATGCAAGCCCCTCACAGAAGGCTAATGTGAGCTTTGCTTCTCTCATGTTTGGTAAAGTAGAAGACTAGCCATCTTAGTCTCTTAGTTAAATAAAAATGGATATAATAGGAAAAAAAGAAAAAAATTTCAAATAGAAATCCTGTAGAGCCACATAAGAATAAACAAGACTATAAATAACCTTGTTCCTAAAACAATTCTACCAGATTAAAATGTCCCCTAAGGAGGGCTTTCTAGATTTAGCTGTGAGAAAGGTGGTGGATTTGAAGGCGTTACCAGCCTCCCCAGGTGGATGTGCAAGTCATAAGCTTCTGTGGATGCTGAGTTGTTCTACTGGCTCCAGTGGACACAATTATCCATAATCTTTCCTGCTCAATAATTTACCTAGCCTAATGTTAGGGATCTAGCTTCCTCAGGATGGGTAAAGGGTAGTCCTACTATAAAGACAATTTTTTTTTTGGTGGGATGGATGGGTAGAAAATGACTGCCACCAATTTTCTAGTGAATGTACCGTCAGCTTGCTTTCATCAAACTTCTAAAACACATAGTATGAGGCAACGATCAATCTACTACTGATCACTATTATAACCTAATCTGTCTCATGTAAAAAAAGCTATAAGCAACTTCAGATTAATTGCTGCGCTCACCGATTTGTCTCATAATTAAATAGGCAAAAGTATCTGAAAATCAAAAATCATAATTTCAATCCATATCCTAACACTGAATTTGTGGGAGCTTGCTAAATTTAAAGGTTTTCATAAATGCTTTATATTTAGAGTATATTTAGATGCTATGTTCTTTTGAAAGAATATATTTACAACTTGGTAAGATCAGTCTATGAACTGACAGGCTCAGTGTATATCACAGTTTATTAATGTCACTAAAAGAAGCTTTAAGGTAAAATCGGCTTTTAGGTAAACTTTTTGCTATTAACAAAGAGACAACTGTTCTTAATATAATGGCAAAGTCTTTGACAAAAAGAAGTCACAAGAAAAACTGGTACCAGCCGGTTTCATATGAAACAGTTCGGTAACAGTGATATCAACACTTACATGGATTTTGTACCGGATTCACTAACATTTTAAAATGAAGATCTTAAAAAATATATCAAATAGGTCAATTCACTTGGCTTACTGAGCATATATATTTAACACAACTGGTTCCTAAGCTTTTTGAATACAATTCTTTATTTTTAACCCTCTTTTATTGAGGTATCAAGGAAAATGAGTAAGAGTACAGTTTGGTAAGATTAGAAATGTGTATACCCATGAAACTATCACCACAATCAAGACAGTGAGCACATCCATATAATGTCCCAAAGCTTCCCAGCACCCCACTGTAATTTCTCTCTCTTATCCCTGCCTGCGCCTCACTCCCAACCCAGGCAAACACCCGTTTGCTACTATCAATTATGTTGCATATTCTAGAGTTTTATATAAATGAAATCATCCAGTATATGTTTGTGTTTGGCTTGGCTTCTCTCACTCAGCACTATTATTATGGGATTCATCCATGTTACTATGTGCATCAATATCAATAGTTCATTTGTTTTTTTAAAGTTGCTGAGTAATTTCCAATTGTATGTACAAACCATAATTTGCTTATTCATTTGTTCACAGACATTTCAGCTATTTCTAGTTTTGGGCTATTACAAGTAAAATTGCTGTGAATATTCTAGATATAAATCCTTTATCAGATACATGCTTTGCAAACATTTTCTCCTCATCTGTGATTTTTCATTCTCTTAAAAATGTCTTTTAAAGAGCAGATTGTTAATTTTGGTGAAGTCTAATTATCAATTTTGTTCTTTGAAGAATGATCCTGGCTGGGCGTGGTGGCTCATGCCTATAATCCCAGCACTTTGGGAGGCTGAGGTGGGCAGACTGCCTGAGGTCAGGAGTTTGTGAGCAGCCTGGCCAATATGGCGAAACTCCGACTCTACTAAACAATATGAAAATTAGCCAGGCATGGTGGTCGGCACCTGTAATCTCAGCTACTCGGGAGGCTGAGGCAGGAGAATCGCTTGAACCTAGCAGGTGGAGGTTGCAGTGAGCTGAAATTGCACCACTGCACGCCAGCCTGGTTAACAAAAACTCCATCTCAAAAAAAAAAAAAAGATCCTTTTGGTGGTGTATCTAACAAATTTTTGCATGACCTGAAGTCACAAAGATATTCTCGTTGCTTTCTTCTAGAAATTCTACTTTAAGTCTATAATCTATTTTGAGTTACTTATTATGGAACAAAATTCATTTTTTGGTATATGGACATCTAATTGCTCCAGCACCATTTGTTGAAAAGACAATCCTTTTCTCACTCGACTGCCTTTGCATCTTTGTAAAAACCCATATAATCTATATGTTGATCTATTTCTGTGCTCGCTATACTGTTCTACTGATTTATTTCTCTATCTTTATACCAGTACCACACTGTTTTGGTTACTGTAGCTTTTTTTTTTTTTTTTTGAGACAGGGTCTCCTTCCATTGCCCAGGCTGGAGTGCAGTGGTGCAATTTCAGCTCACTGCAACCTCCACCTGCCAGGTTCAAGCGATTCTCCTTCCATTGCCCAGGCTGGAGTGCAGTGGTGCAATTTCAGCTCACTGCAACCTCCACCTGCCAGGTTCAAGCGATTCTCCTTCCATTGCCCAGGCTGGAGTGCAGTGGTGCAATTTCAGCTCACTGCAATCTCCACCTGCCAGGTTCAAGCGATTC